CCGCATTGTGCTCAGAATGTGCCAGAGCAAAGAATGTCCTCGTGAACAATCAAGGTTTTTCACCGGCGCAATGGGTTCTTGGCCATACTCCTGAAGACCTTTCAAGCTTGACGGACCAGGACCCGGAGAACCACTTGGGCGTGCACCAAGGATTGGTTGATGCCGAGGAGAAGACTCCCCAAGAACAATTCATGCTGCAATTGTTGATGAGGCAAACAGCGAAAGAGATGTACACTCAAGTTGACAGCTCTCAGCGCATCAGGCGCGCACTCTTGAGGAAAGCCGTGCCCATCAGAGGACCCTACCACACTGGTGATCTGGTTTGTTTCTCAAAACAGGGCAAGTGGTATGGGCCAGCAAGAGTGTTGACAACAGAGGGCAAGTCTTCGCTGTGGTTGGTACATGGAGGTGTCACTGTGCTTGTTGCTGAAACTTCATGCCGACCAGCCTCAACTCAGGAGATTTTGAAGAAGCATGTTTTGGAGCTACGTCCTGCACGGAAGAGGAAGCGTGAACTGTATTCCTCTAACCCTGAAGAAGAGGACTACCTTCCCTTCGCTGATGATGGAGATGAAGCCCGTGCTTTGAGGCAGAGGACGGAACAACAAGCTCCATTCGTTGATCTACAAGATCACGGACATGTGGGTGTCATGCCCACTGTGCCTGCAGCACCTGCTGCAGAGCCTGCAACAGATGTCACTGCTCCTGGAATAGCTGCTACCCCAGAAGCTTTGATGGACGATGACTCACCAGAGGATGTGGCACAGGACTCTTCAACAAGTCCGAGCCCTTTGTCTCCACCACCGGGTCTAGAGCAAAATGCTGAAGATATCCCAGTGGAGCACTCTGGCACGAGCGATACGAGCAGCTTGCAACCTGAATTCGAAGTGAGCCCAGGAGTGACGCCGGAAGCTCATGAACAGGAAGTGCCACCGTCTGTAACCCCTTTGACCCAAGCACTTCGCCTAGATCCTGACCGGCTTGATGGGATCACTCCGCCGAGATCGAATCATGTCTATGATGAATGTGTTCGGCAACCTCCCTCACTGGCTTTCTTGATGGGGCGCCAAGAACATTGTGTCAAGAAGAAGGCAAAGAAGGCGCAAAGAACTAAGAAAGCTGGAGCTGGGCGTGAGTTGGTCTATGAGAAAGAGTCCAAGGAGGTCCAAGAGAAGCTCGACGGCACCAGACGAAAAGAGTGGGACAACTGGACAAAATACACCGATGGCCAATGGTTGACTGAAGAGAAACTTCAGGAGCTCAAGAAGGAGATCCCAGGCCTACGGGTGATTCCCACTCGATGGGTGGACGTCGACAAGGCAGAGGTCACCGAAGATCCAATGCTGAAGTCACGACTTGTTGTGAGAGGCGACCTCGAAGATGCTTCTCAGATGAGGACAGACAGCCCTACTTGCTCAATGCCTATGCTGTCGCTCTCTCTCATCTTGGCAGCCTGCCGAGATGTTGATTTGTGGACCGGAGACATCAGTGCAGCGTTTCTTCAAGGTTCCAAGCTTGACAGGACACTCATCCTCTCCATGCCCCGTGGAGGAATTCCTGGAGAACCTGACGGTCGCTACTACATGGTCTCATCGACCGTGTATGGAACCAAAGATGCACCAAGAGGTTGGTTCAAGAACCTGCACAGCTCTCTGCTGGAGCAAGGCTTCACCGCCATTCCACATGAGGCAGCCGCCTACAGCCTGAAGACTGGCGACTACCTGGAAGGCTTAGTTATCGTCCATGTGGACGATTTGCTCTGGACAGGCGGCAAGGTGATCAATGACAGAATGGAAGCCATCTGCCAGAAGTACAAGTTTGGAAAGCTCTCCAAGAATGAATTTAAGTACTGTGGCCGCGAGATCAAGAAAGATGACACTGGAGTCCACATCAGTTGTCCAAGCCTCATCGACCGAGTTCGGCCAGTGTACTTGTCTGCAGAGCAGCGTAAAGCAAAAGATGCTCGAGTGCCAGATCATGTTAAAGATCAGTTAAGGAGCATCATTGGCAGCTTGGCATGGTTGGCCCGTGTTTGTCGCCCTGACCTTTCGTATGCTGTGAGCTACCTGCAGTCCAATGTGTCGCAAGCGACTTTCAGTGATGTCATCTTTGCCAACGGCATTGTCAAGATTGCAAGAGGCAGCAAAGATGTTGGCATCAGCTATCCACTGAAGCCCTTCAAGTTTGAGGAAAGCATGATCATTGGCATCCAGGACGCTTCTTTTGCCAATGACGCTGATGTCAGTGGAAGCGGCAAGAGATTGGGACTGCGGAGTCAGAGTGGCCGCTTGATGTGTTTGGCCCATGAGTCCTACCAGCACACACATGAGGGCAACCTGCTGCTACTTGATTGGCACTCCACCTGCATTCGCCGAGTTTGCAGGTCAACTCTCCAAGCGGAGACTCTTTCGATGATCGCTGGCATGGAAGAATGTGAGCATATGAGGTATGTCTTCCATGGACTTTGGAGCGATCATGGCCGAGACCTACGGCAATGGCAGATAGCAGCTCAAGATCAGGTGAAGATGAACCTCTACACGGATTGCTGCTCTCTGGCAGAACATGTCGCACATCCTGGACTCCAGAGTGTCCAGGATAAGAGGTTGGCCATTGACCTCAGCGCCACACGTCAGTTGATCTGGCGCCGGCCGGGCGAGCTGCTGGGTGATCCACTCCTGACGGATCACATTCCGCCTGACCGGACGACAAGCCTTGTTTGGACGAGCACAGACCGTATGCCTGCGGACTGTCTTACGAAGGCTATGAAGCCTGGCCCTCTCACCGAGGTCATGCAGGGTCGCAGCTACGATCTCACTCCACAAAAGAAAGATCGGTCTGAAAACGAGGTTCGAGGTGGCCAGGAGACTCGATCGTAGCTGTGTCCATGCTTCGACCATGTTCACTTGCCACGTGACCCGTGGCTCAAGCCATGACGCGAGATCGGAAAGACGAGCGCATTTCGCTTTTTTTCGGTCACTTTAGGCAGCCAATTTCACACTTTGGTGCAAGATTCCAGTGACGAAGGACTCCGTATGAAGGTGTTCTTGAAAGCATTGCAGCATGTTCCGCACGTCCTTGAACAGCGAGTGGCGAACAAGCGAAGGAGGGACTTCGGTTCCGCATGAGAAGCTCTTGAGATCAGTCGTTGGATGCTCGTTGAGATGCTGACCAACGGCGCTTTCTTTTTTCGTCCTGAGTACACAGGTACCAGACATTTTCCCTGATGCAGAGAAGCTGGTCGAAAAGGGTGCATCATCTAGGATGGATCTTTTCCGCTGGCTGAAAAGCATCAAAGCTTCAGAGCGATTGTAGTCTTCCTGCTAAAGGCTGAAGAGCTTTTAGTTTTTCCTGCTCAACAAGGGCTTGCAGTTCATCTTCTAAAGATTTCTAGAGGCCGAAGAGCTTCAAAGCTAAAAGCTGAAGAGCTTTTAGTTTTTCCTGCTCAAGGTTGAAGAGCTTGCAGTTTTCGCGCTAAAGGCTGAAGAGTTCTTAGCTTTTCCTGCTAAAGGCTGAATGGCTTTTAGTGAGTTTTGAATATGTCCAGATGATGCAGATCTCTTCCATGACTAGCTGCGGCTGTCCAGCCTGGGCTAGTCCGGCTTTCGTGTGCCTGAAAAAAAGACTGGGTTATGCTGCTCCGATGTTTGCCAGCCATGGCAGCCGAGGGTCGGTGACGTGAAATATCGTGAAATGCCTTTTTCGGCACTGCCAGGCGCCGCCTTAAGATCACTGACACACCCATCCACTAACCCAAGATGATGTTTTTTTTGCATTTTACTACCAGGATGATTTCCCTATTGTAATACTTGACGGACCGATTTCTGAGCTCTTTGGCTCGCGAGTTGTGCTACCAGATTCTTGGATCGTGATGGGGTGCTGCAGCAGTCGCGGCGCTGCTCAACATGATGAGATTGTGTGCACTGGCCAAATGCGTCAAAAGGAGAGCATGGTGATCTCTCACACAGGCAAGACGACAGAATTCAAGAGGAGTGTAACATTTCAGGAAGCCGAAACTATTCAGCTTGAGATTCCCCGAATGGTGGGTTCAATGAGATCTACGAGATCTTTGGCGCAAGATTCCAGTGACGAAGGACTGCAAATGAAGGTTTTCTTGCAAGCACTGCAGCACGCCCCGCACGTCCTTGAACAGCGAGTGGCGAACAAGCGAAGGAGGGACTTCGGTTCCGCATGAGAAGCTCTTGAGATCAGTCGTTGGATACTCGTTGAGATGCTGACCAACGGCGCTTTCTTTTTCCGTCCTGAGTACACAGGTACCAGACATTTTCCCTGATGCAGAGAAGCTGGTCGAAAAGGGTGCATCATCTAGGATGGACCTTTTCCGCTGGCTGAAAAGCATCAAAGCTTCAGAGCTTGTACTCTTCCTACTAAAAGCTGAAGAGCTTTTAGTTTTTCCTGCTCAAGTCTTTTTTTGTTTACTTTGTGTAGATTTAATTTATGTACCAGAAAAGCGTGCTGGTATTGAATATATATATAATATATTATATATATTGGAGTTGATGAAAGTTGATGACCTCCTTGAGCTCGGTACGGACTTGTTGAAGTCACACGCCTCGGCGGTGGGAGTACTGTAGCTCTGTCTTCCACCTAGCGGATCAGCCGCACCCAACCCAACTGCCGCTCTGCGGATAACACGGGGACCAGCCCCGTGGGTTCTGTTGCAGAAATCCCCGGCCGTTTTTGATGGGAAAAAGAGGCTTGCTGCAGCAAACACACGCGAAAACACCCGACTATTTGAGGTTGCAAAGTCATTTGACAGCTCGTGGCTGTGTATGGTGCCCGGCACAAGTGAAGACCACACCACTCTTGGAATTGAACCACTGGAAGCCGCAATGAACTACTGGAAGCCAATCAACCGCATTGAACCACTGGAAGCCTTGTTTGTGCTGCTTCTAGTCCTCTTTCCAGCAAGTTGCACCACCGACGTAGAAGTCTATGTTTCTTGATTTTCAACCTTCCGTTTAATGCCTAGAACTTCTGAGGTTGTCTCCAAGCTGCTCCAGCAGATGGACAAGGCCATGGATGTTTCAATACTCGACTAGCTTCGAGCTAGGCAAATACAGATCAGATCTCACCTACCAATTTGCGATCCAAAGAGGGATGAGTCAAATACGAAGAAACATGAAACCCATTGAAACCCATATACATCGGATTGAAACCCTGGCGCCCCTTTGCGTGGGCGGCTTCTTTTTCACGATCGCTCAACCCTAAACCCTTAGCCGGCTCGCCAGGCGGCTCGCCAGGCTCGCCATCAATCAGTTGGGAGTGAAGTCAGTAATCCCTACAGAGACCGCTGAGTGGCAGCTGTCAGGCCCTACAGCTCGATGGCCCATCGCCCGTGGGGAGTGAAGGCCGAGCCGTTGCGGTTCCTTGGCCGTTTGGCGGTCGTCCGAGAAGGATGGACACACAGACACAGCTTCTTCCGGTTGTTGAAGCATGTGGATTTCTTGTTTTTTTTTTGTGGCTGGAGTATGTCATATTATGGGTTTGGGGGGTTAAGTATTCAACGTTGGAAATTGCAGCTGTTTCATCGGTGGATATGGTTGATCTACTGTATGTTGATCTCATATGATCTCATTGTCAAGGAAATACTGGGACTATTTACTATATATTTACTGTTTGCCAGACTTTCTGTGAAGGCGGACGTGATCCAACACCATCTTTGCTCTGCCATGGCAGAATATCGTCAACCATTTGGACAAGGGTCCTTGACTGTCACGTGAAGCATATATAATAATGGGGTTGCTTGTGATGTGGTTAGTTGTGGTGTGGCTATTCTTGATAGATGCGCCTCAACCCTTAGTAAGTAGAAGCTTGGCCGTATACTTGTTTGATTCCGTAGGCAAAAACGGATGTCCGTTGCCGCAAGAGACGGGTCTTTCAGGTCGAAAACTTCCGATCTCGCCGACCGGAGACAGTGTGGTGTACACCAGACAGTCGGACACGATGTTCGATACCACCGGTCAATTCTCAGGTTCCATGTTAGTTTGCGGGGAGTTCTATTGATCAACACTCAGCAAACCGCTATTACATGCTATTACCCATACCGTTACCCCGTCCTTTTCGGTCGAGGGACAAGCATACCGTATCTCGTTGAAAGGTTTGTCTTGCAATCCGCAAATCTTAGGTATCCTTATCTGGTCTTCGACAGCCATCGAGCGACGGACTCAAATGGCAGCCGCTGCATGCACAACATGAAAATGGCATCTCTTGTGGTTCGTCGGCAGTACTTGTAATTAGCAAATAATTGAATTGATTACATGGAATTTGTATGTTCAGTGACTTTTGTGTCACCTCATGTTGGATCTCACTTACATCTCCCGCACAAAACATCGTTTCGCGGCAGCACCATCTCAGAAGTGCATGTATATATATATATATAGATAATATACATATATGTTTTCTGGTGTTTTGTTGTATGTTTTATGTTCGAAGCAGAAAACATAATGATTAGGTCCCGAAGCTGAAAGGCCTTTGCCGGAGGAGCTAGCTGTGGTTGGACCAGTGACCAGTGTTCAAGTTCTTTGTTTTATTGTTGAGGTTGAGGTTTGTTGAGTTGATGATGTTTTTCAAAGACAACAACACCAACCCGATTGAGTTCTTCTCAGCGAACAAAGGACGACTTGTGGCAGGGTAGTTGTCTCTTCATCAACTTGACTTGGCTTATTTTGTTGCTCTCTACCCTTTTTGCCTTCTAGGGCTCCGCAACATGACTCAAGTGCCCATGGTTTCCATAGTGACTGTAGAAGCTTTTAAATGCTGTAGGTTTTCTGGCCTGTTGTCAAGTACTGTGGGGGTGGCCATAGACCGTTCGTGGATAGAACGGCCGGGAGAAGACTGTTTGCTTTATCAACCACCAACAGGAGTCTCAGCTTTTCCGGTGTGGCACAGGTGTGGCTCATACAGAAGATACCCAAAGCCACAAGCGTTTGGGACAACACGTGCTGATCGACGGGGGGGTATCGCAGATCGATGGCAGCCATCAAATGTTCTCACGTATCTCACGTGAGTCGAAGGCGAGTGGTGAGTAGTGGCCTTTCAAGGAACAAACTCTTCTCAACATGTGGGTGAGTCAAAATCCGTAGGAGCCACCTGGGAGCCACCTGGGAGCCCCGTGCACGGTTTCTCTCAGGTGACGGGCTCCAAACGATCTTCGGTTGACCTTCGGTGTTTTCAGACCGTTTAGAGCGGCGCTTGGTCAGGACCTGAAGGACTTCAAGCTGAGCACCTCCTCCGCATCCGCAGGCGAGGGGGCGAGGGCGCGAGGAGGCGAGGGCCGCTGGAATAGGGCCACGAGTCATCAGGCAGAAGGCAAAAGTGGAGCCATTCTCCAAGATGAGGTGTTTGATGGTGTTTGTTTGGCGGATTGAAATAAAGAGACTCCGGAAGAGTCAAGATAGACCAGAGATATTTACAGCCTTCGGCATGCCGCCGGCCACCAGCTCGAGCCCGCATTGGCAGCCAGCTTAATGATACAATACCCTGCTCAATCATACTTGTTGGTGCATTGGAGGTGCACATTTGGCTGGGTGAGTTTGTTGATGTTTATTTCAAGCGAAGTCGTTTTACAATGAAATGGAACGAATCCGAATCAGAGGTTGTCTATTCTGATCCAGCGATCGACATGTCTCAGTCCAATGGTTGTCTATTCTGATCCAGCGACCTACTACCTACTACCGACTACCTACCACCTACTACCTACTACCTACTACTGCTGCTACTATTGCTACTACTACTACTACTGCCACCACCACTACCTACAGTCCAACCTACTACCTACTACGTACTACCTACTACCTACTACCTACTACTACTGCTGCTACTACTGCTACTACTACTACTACTACCACCACCGCTGGTTTTCAGCGGAGGCCCTGCCGAGTGGTCTTTCCTTCAATTTGCTATGGGCGGAGCTAAGGCGTGTGGATTGTGCTCATATAAGACTTACTGTAAGAGAGGCAATCCACACGTCATAGCTAGAAGCTGATTCACTTCGGCCAGATCAGACGTCGCTATATAGATGTAGCAAACTGCCGCCAGATGTATGGGGGATGATGTCATTCTATCCTTTGTGCCACCTCCGTTCTCCCAGAATTCGTCCAAACCTCCCAGTCTGGTCGGCATGTCCCAGCAAAAGGACTGGGAGGCCGCTGAGAACTGCAGCAATCTGCAGAGGTCCATTTCTGGGGCGCTCAAACCACGCACGTTCCTCCGTAAATCCTGGAGTTCGCGCAGCTATGCGCATAGCGGAAAACACAGCAACCAGAACGAAGGCCCAACTCATATCGGTCGCGACGGAAAGTGGGACAGCGACCGAGTCTGGCACCCCGAAAAAGGACGAGGATTTCATGTGTTTGACCGGTTCCACTGATTGGCATTGGTTCTTCCAACTTGGCAAAAGAGACGCAGGTGTTGGAGGATCAGATAGGTCACCTTGGTCCCGCTAAGGTTTTGGGGGCAAAGTTGCCAGGTCATTTCTTGGTGCACTGCTAGACCTCCAGTGTTGTGTTTGTCCAGTGGTTTGTTTGGGATTCTGCAGATTTGCACAGTCGAAACACAGCCCGGCACAGTCGGCACAGGTTCGCCCCAACCTCGCGACTCAGAGGAGGCAAAGTTCTGCTTGAATCAAGCTGCTTTCTGAGAGAATGCCCAGTTCTGGGTGCTTTTGGATGTCAATTCCCCAATTTGGGAATCGTTGGAAGGTTCTCCCAGAAAACTCGGATGGTGACCGATCACTTGTGACTTTCGGAGCCACGTCGCAGGCCACGTAGCAGTTTTCATCGAGAGATCCATCGGCCCGGTCACGTCGGTTTTGACTGGTGCGACGAACGCAGGGTGGCTGAGGGTGGCTGGATCCAATAGAATCTCCCATAGGGGGGCTCAACTTCCCATAACTTCCCTACGAGTCGCACCAGTCAGTCAATTTCATGTCGTGAAGTGGTTTGTTTGGTAAACTACGTAGTTGCTGCTGATTCTGACGTGTGGTAGACTTGCTATACTGCGCAATGCACTGATCAAGATTTGGATCGATTGTGTGGAGACAAGGTGTTATGTACCAATTGCAGAAATGTCCACAGAATTTGACTCTACGTGGTTACATTTTTGATGTAGGTGCTATTGATGAAGCTGGACGTGAATGCTGTTCGGGTGGCAGCTGAATTGGAGAAGAAGGCCGGCGAACCTATTGGACTGTGGTCGGATCCTGTCGATGCCGTTGACATGTCAGGAACAAGAGGGGTATGAAGATGCACTCCGTGTGATTTGATCGGTTTCTTATCCAATCATCAAACTCGTTATAGTATGTTAATGTATGTTATAGTGATATAGTCAGTGGCCAAGCAGGACTCACACACCTTACCAGGAGTCTCAATGATTCTATAATATACTATTTGTGATTTGTACTGCATCACTCACCATGTCAATTCAGATTCCTATCTCATTCTTCTCCATGTTTCGCGAGTCGGTTGAGCTGCGCGGGAACTGGTCTGTCGACGTCTCAAACACTGCCCGCGGAGCTCCCGCGGATCGGGTGGTGCAGAGGTCCCGAACCACCGTGCAGCCAAGCACGGGAGGTTGAACTGCGGGTGGTGACTGCGGGGGTCCGGCCGACATCCCAGACGTCTTGGTTTTTTTTCCACGACATGGAAGACTCTGCACCAAGACTCTTTGGCACCAAGACTCGGGAGTTCTGAAGGTTTGGAAGGTCCAACCTTCGGCTCACCTTGTCACCGAGCTCAGAGATCAAGTCAGACTCTGAAGCAGAGTCAGCTGGACTCCCAGGGTCGACGGTGAACCACCATGCAGTCGCGGCGGTGCACGGTGAACTCCGCTGCCAGAAGCTGATGGACCAGCACTGTGATGATATGGATGACTTGTTGCGACGGCACAACAAGGAGCCGATTGGCCGGGGTTCCGAATGAGCCGCTCTGGATTGGCATTTCTAAGAATGGCTATGTGTTCGCTAGCGGTCACAGACCTCGAATAGCTTGAAAGTCAAAAACAAGAATGGCTATGTGTGATGTTACTTGTGTTCCATGTTCTGGTTGCCCTTTGCAACTATTGTTTCATTTACTATTATCACCATTGCGTGAATAACTTCACGTCAGAGCGTTTGAGCGTTGCAGTGGCCTCGTGTTGCCGCGCAATGTCCCTGCATTGTTGTTGGCTTGTTTTTTTTTAGGTGTGGGCGTTTCCAACCAATTCAAGCCTTCCTTTACGCCAGGTGAAAGTGCCGGCTCAGGAACTATCCCATCTCCCATGTCCAACAAGCATCCACCAACATGGTTGAGTTGGACCTAACACTCCAATCTCCAATCGAAACTGCTTCGATGAGCGCTTCCATAAACGAACTGACGTCCGTCGCCGCACCTCCAGGAGCGCCGGGAGCTGCATCAAGAGCTGGTGGAGCTCCGTTCGGAGCAGCTCCGAAGCGAGGCGGACAGCGGAGACGGCGGAGACCGGAGATCGGGGTGAGACCGCCGATGTTAAGGGGCAGTGAAGGTTAGATGGAATTGATGGAATGTCAGCTCTCAAGAGTGTTGACGGAGTGTTGTGACATGTGTAAGAGAAGCAGAGCTTATGATTGACAGGTTTCTTGATGTGCATCGGGGCGTCCATGCAGGTAGAAGAACTCCGTGTACTGGGATTGCTCAGGTTGATTGGACTGGACTTTCACTTTGGGGGAGATTGCTGATCCTGCCGTTCCAAGCATCAAGTCTTGTTCGTTCTACATGTCTAATCATTTCGATACAGTACATGTACATGTTCTTTAATCAAACAGACAGACCCCATGAGGAGGGTCTTCTGCAGAGCTGAAAAAGGATCGACCGCTCGACTCAAAAACTTCCACGAGACATCCGTGAGGCCCATGAGACGCTGGTGAAGCCCATGCAAGACATCCGTGCGCACTTTGAGAAACAGGCACGGAAAAAATAAAAAACGACAAGGAACGAACCAGTGAAGAGATGTGAAGAGAACATCTACTCATCTTTTTTGTTTTCGCGTCAGAACAACTACGTCATTGTTTGAGTGTTCACCAGACGAAGAAAGAGATGGGGTTCATGATGGTTTCGCAAAGGTCGCGAGGCAGTTGAGGTTCATGAGGCTTAGAGAGATTTAGAGAGGCTTGCAGGCCTTCTGTTGGTCGATATAATTTTTACTTGGTAGGACTTTCGTGAACTTGCACAGAAGTGCTATGTCTTCATTTCGATCAGGAGTGGTCGTTGGTGTGACATTCTTAGTCTTTGGCCACCAAGTTCCGCCAAATCTCCAAGTACACCATCTCCAAGTACACCATCTCTTAGTCTTTGACCTCATTTGGCCACCAAGTACACTGTAACTGTGAAAACGAGGTCCACCATTGACCGCGCCTTTCCACCGGACCGGAGCGATGCAGCGACGATGGTCTTCCAGGGCACTGTGCAGCCGCCATGCACAGACGTCCCAGCACTGTGCAGCCGCTTTGCCATCTAGTTTCTCACATGGCCCAATCGCTGTGCATCTTTAGAGGGAGACACCTTCTACACCCCCACGGGTAGACTGGTCTATGTCCCTTCTTCCAGGGACTTTTTTGGGAGGTCTCATGAGGTCTCCCTATGTTAACACACACCGAATCATCGATCACAACCAGAGCGACCAGACCGATGAAGGTGGCGGAGGTGAAGCATGGCTTGAAGGCGGAACTGGCGGTGCGGGGCCTCAACATTGACTGGTGTGGAACGGAGAATACGGGAGATATGAGCACCTATCAAAACCTGTCCTTATGTAGCTTAAAGGAGGCTGGACATCATTGTTGAATGAACGATAGGGTCGGGAACTAAAAACAATACCTGACTTTGATTAATTACATTACAAAATATATGTATGTCTGATCTATCTTGACACCTGTAAAACGATAAGGAAAAAAAACGATAACCCCCGATGACTCTTGTGGAAACCCCTTCACATGCGAGAAGTGGTGTGAAGAAAACGCATGCACACACGCAAACAGAAAACCTACTAATGTTCCAAATTGTCAGGGTCGATGCATGACTGCTCTTGGTGGGTATGTGCTTGGACAGATGTGGGGCTTGTAGCCTTGTGCTACAGCATTGTTGTGCCACATGGTTTTCCACCTTGCATCAGGGATGAACATGATAACAAAACGATAACACAGCAAGCCTAAAACACCTTTGGGTGTAGTTGGAATGAAGTGTGCCTAATGTCTTCATGCTGCAAGGTTCCACACACCACATGCATGTAGTGCACACACACACACACACTACACTATACTGCATTTGTTGCAGTCAGTCAACGTGCTGTAACACGATAACGTCAAAAGTGGGAAAGGTAGAGGTGTTTTTTTAACACAACCTCACATGTGTTCTACACATGGGCCTCAGTAGCAAGAAAAATACAGCCATGGACGCTTTGTGTCACATGTCGAAATCTGTCAATCAGTAAAATGAAGAAGCAGCCACTGTGGGTGCACAGCGATAGGCCGTCATGTTGGGAGTGCCGATTCCCAACATCAACGCAAGCCTTCAAAAAAGATAGGGTCGGGCGGGTCGGGAACCCCAAAACGACACCCCCCTCTGTTGATGTCCTTTAGATGCATGTAAGGGGTTTAGATCGCCGCTCCATATGGCTATGGGTCAAAAACGGTCAAGACTAAGAAACCTTGGTTAACCTACAGAAAAGGAACAGAATCGACGACTGAGAACCCTACCAGAGTGAGTCTCCGGGCGAGCGAAACGGGTGCCATGAGGAACCTACCAGCTAGATGGATATCTGTAGATGATCTGGTTTACCGGGGGCAGAGACCAGCGAACAGATTCCTCTCGTCTTTCTTAGCGATGTCAACCTGTAATTGGTTTGGTGGGGCTTTGACTCACAACTCACAACCAGATGGGGAGGGATACCGAGTGCTTCAAGGCTTTTGGAGGAGGTTTGGACCCTGTGTTCCAGTGGAGCCACAGAAAGGACCCACTCGATGTTCCGAGCTTTTTCTTGAAGCCCAGGACATTCACGAGCAAAACCGAATGCTCAACGGCCGGCTCCTTAGAACATCTTAGAACCTGAAAGGCGGTGTGCTGCACGATGCAGAGCACAGGTGCGGCGCACGACTGACATGAGCATACGTCGTACAGTATATCCAGTCTTCATCATCTTCAATCTAATAATCTGAAGGATCCGATGGTATTCCAGAGATCAGAAAACCCGACATGTGGGCCCAAACCCGGGTAACTTTTTGATTGACCCAATATGAGCAGAATCGTCCACCTTCAGGAAACCCCGAGCTTTACGAGGACTCGGACATGAAGCGGTTGGAAAACCTCCGTGCCCGTTTTAGGACAAGTGGAACAAGAGATGTCGCTTCTCAGAAGAGACCTGGAGAGGCCGAAATCCGCCGGTGATCCTGGGCTGTCGTCCGAATGCGCCCGATACGACGGCTGCCTGTTTGGATGGCAGGTTCGTTGAGCACCCCTTTTTGTTCGAACTCGGTTCGTTAAGCCAGACTCAACGCCATTTGTGTATATATTGTGCCAACTGTTTGGTTTTGGTATACCAGCACATATACCCGTGCTGAAGCCAGAGAAGAGGCAAACACAAGACAACAAAGCGCTTGAACTTTCCAGTAACACCATTCACAGAAGGTGAGGGTGGTTGCTCAGCTTCTAAGATTCTCAGACCTAGAACCTAGAAGGCTTAGATAGAAGGTTGAAGCAACTTGCTTCTTCCTGATGTTCGACCCAGCTACGCTGGGCGCTTGCGCAGGTCCCAAGGTGAACTGTTTGCGAGCAAGCATCAGTTTCGGGAGCTCGAAGGCCTTTACGATAAGGCCAGCTGAGGAAATCGATGTCGAATTCTGAATGACGTGAAGATGATGTTGAAGCATGAAGGAGGATCATATTCCGACCCAGGAAAAGTGGATCAACGTGCAAAACCATTTTGGGAGCATTGGTTCCCCCCAAAAGACGGATACTGCACTGTGTATATATTATATTGGAGAATTGCCACGGACGGTCAATCCTGTATCACTGTATCATACTCTTCCGTCGGGAACCCGGCAAGACGATGGAAGACGTCTGACGTTGTATGACGTCCTCGGGGTCGTCAGAGTCGTCAGGTCTGTTTTTCGGACGGAAGGACGGTGCAGACAATTGGTGGAAGGCTGGAAGGGTAGGAAAAAAACCCACCCACCCGTGGTTGACACCGCCACAGGAGCATTCTGAGTTGCTGCGCCTGCGGCAGCAACACCTGCGAAGTCTTGGGCGAGGGGAGTGAGACTTGAGATGGACACCGGCCGGGAAAGCGTGCGGCCCAGAGAGGAAACGGTTCAAGGGAAATCGGAGAATCAGAATGTAGATGGATCATGATGGATCAACCTTTAGAAAAGCGTCAACCACAAGGCTGCCGCTGTGCTTTGTGACTTTGAGTGCAGGGTGTAGCAGTTCAATAATTCTCTTCACTGTCAGTATGGTGTGCCTTTCTATTCTGATCTCTTGAGCCAAACTGAGCGAGTGAAAACTCTTCTTGCAGATGTGAGTATGTCAGTGCTTCCCGTTTTGGTTTGTCAAGTGGGGAACTATCTGCCTCATTGCCAGGCAGCAGAGGGAGCTTATGGAAAAAGAAGAACAGGCCGCGGAATGTAACTAGGCTGCTGTGAGCTCCTTTGTTGAAGGCAACGTTGGCCCGCAATAGCCATTGCTTCTTTTGTTTTGCATGATGCGGCCGTACAGTTCAAGGTGGCACGTGGATGGACAGCAGATCTTTTGGTCTGAAGTGCTTTTTTCCTGGTTTGTGACCAGAATTCGGAGTTGGTTCCTTTGCTTAAAGCTGCTGTGTCAAAAGAAGGATGGAAGAGGACCCCGTTGAACAGACACGTGTTGTTCACTTGTAGACTATTCAGCCAAGTCCGCGTCACGTAGGCCAAGGCTGCCGCTGCTGAAGCCGCAGCCAACACCTTTGATGTACAGCAAGCAGAGGCGCGTTTTACGGCCACTTCTGTGGAGCATATGGAGGGTCTGTAGTACGATTTGTTGCATCGAGATCAATACTACTGTAGATGCGAGGTTTTGGTCATGTGTGATCGTAGACCACTGTACAAGTCGTGGACTTGCCGAAGCGCACCAAGACAAAATCTATTGTACTTGTACATGTAAAAAGGACTCAACAACGGCAGAATCCTTACAAAACTCATGATGCAGGCAAATGCAACGCTTTCTGGAGATTTCTCACATGTGACGAACTCAGACTGTTTGCATGACAACAAAGCTATGCAAGTGATGAAATGCTGGTGCTCTTGGGCGGCAAAGGTGAGGAATTTGACACGTTTGTGAATTGCCTTGTGAATATGCTCTGGAGATCTCTGGAGTGGTTTCCAATGGTTTACTGCATTTTAGCTATGTGAGTGGTTAGTGCGTCTCTGCTTTGTATTCTGGCACCTTCCACTCCAGTCACACCTGCGAAGCCGAGCCCAAGCACACTTCAGGACACAGCAACCGCCATTCTTCCCGTGGGAGTTGCTCCAACACTGGAAAGAAGTCAAGAGCGCCCAGAGGCGAAATCAGCTCTTGACTTCGAACGCGCGTCGCAGCTCTTCTTCTCTTCGACTGATCTTATCTAAAAACGAGCAAATAACAGATGACACGAGCAAATTCGTGGAATAGAAAGCAACAAGGAGGTGAAACCGATGCTGTGGCCACTGAAATGGCGGTCGCAACGACGTGGTCCGCGATCCGTGCAGGGCAAAGAAGACCAGGTCAGTGGCAGCAACAATACGACTCTTTTGGCTGATGACAGTCAGCAGATCCTCAGCTGAATAGGGGCTGAACGCCGATGAAAGTGGATTACCTTTATAACTATAACTCTATAAAAATGCCAATTACATCCAAGTACTATCCCATGCCAGTGATGCTTAAAACCCATAAGAGGCACCGGATATATCCACCCGCGAAGTTGTGAATGTTTGTTTAAGAAAAAGTTCTCTTCAGCAGTGGCCATCGCATTGCCAGCACCCGCGTTTGTGATGTTTGTTGGAAGATCTATTTAAAGGGAGTTTTGTCGGATCGACATCCCAAGACCATGGGTGACATTGCCTCAGGACTGCTGCTCACCCGCAGGCCAGGCGATGTTCTTGGAGTCCGCGCTGGAATCTGTTAAAACCAGTTTGACAGCAGGCAATGTTTATTGTTACGTGTGACGTGTGACCTTCATTTTATTATTATGCATATGCTGCATATGCTCAGCAGTTCATACTCCTAGACGATAGTTGTTTATTCCATGTGTTTCCCCTTGTTTCCCTTGCCTTTCCAGAAGCATGTGTGTCTTCATTCTGCTCCTCTTTTTGCATCCAACAAGACCCTGCTTCTCGCTGTGTTGAACAGTTGCAGCGGTGGACCCAGCGCCAGGTCAACTCGAGCATCCCATCGCCCTTACCAGCGCCCAACTCTGCGATGAAGCAGGTGATGATGGCTCCCAAACCCAAGGAGATAGACGACAATGATTTTGTGCTAACAGGATGAGTGCTTTGAGTTTTGCCGCTTGATTGAGAATGGTATTTGCCTCAACTAAGTAAGTATATATATATATATACATAATGAGGTATCAGGCCTAATCTATGCAACGAGGTGTCAAAGATATTGTCATAGAAGTGGGCCTCATTGTAGGCAAGGCATCCACACATATGATTTTCTCAAAATGTTAAATGCAGCTTTGGGGTACGAGAAAATCCACCTTTGATATCCTTTTATCATGTCTTTATCCACCTTTTCCTGTAGATGTTCTTGTCGGGAATGCTCCTCTCACGGCAGCGGAGTGTGCAGCTTCACGCTTTGACTCAGGAGGACGGCCGTGAGGCCATGACCCCGACCGTGCTAAGCACGCGAAAGGCGCCCGTCAGCGCAGAAGTTCAGACGTCGGTAGCTTGATATCGCACAGAACGGACTGTAGGTCGGAAATCGCTTTCTTGGCGCGGCATTGTTCCATGCATTTTGGTGAATAGATGTGAATAGTATAAAATAGATAGTTTCATAATATCGATGTATTATACTATATATATAATGTAAATGGAGTTACAAATACTTATCGTTTTTTCGTCAATAGTATATACTGTAAGGACAGTGATGTGGTTGTTGGCACAGCAGGGCTCGGGTCGATCATGCACCGTGGAGAGGCTGCGCGGCCCAGCGTGACTGCTGTGCCCGGAGTCCAGGGCGTGATCCATTTGATCCAAGACATGTTGGCAATGAACGACGATCACATGGTTGTTAAGTTGTTGTATTTAAGCATTCTGTTGCATCATGAGATGTATTGTTCCCTAGCTGCAGCTATTCCTGGCGCCAGTGTTTTTGGGAAATTTTTCAGATCATTCAGAGCTTTCCAATTCTCCAGTGACTCCAGTGTTCCGTTTTGCTTTTCACAGGCAATTCAGGCCGCGATGCACACGGGATCCATCCACACCACCGGTATACCTCGGTCCACGCGACCATCGGCACGAGGTCCACGGTCCTACGCACCATCCCTTCACAGGGTCGGCCCGCCACGGTGCAAACGAGGCCGGGTCGGGGGGTTCGGGGTCAGACGGCCAAAGGCGATCCCCACCCGTTTCGCGAGGGTTTGGACCCCCCACAACGAGGGGGGATGGATGTGTCCCCGCACTTCATTTGTGATATATAATATATATATATATAATAGTGTATAATACTATTAAAACAGTATATTACTTTGGTTTGTATATGTGTATATACATACTATATAAATACATTGTCAAACGTGAAAACCACCCCAATGTTGCCAGATATGTCAACTCATATCTCATAGACGGAGTGTCTGGACGCCACGCAGGAGTGCTCCACAGCTGCCGACGCCCAGCACTCCTCATGGAGTTCGTCCGGTGAGCGTCGATGGGGAACCGAGAAATGTGGCGAGCGTTGGTTGGACATGAGACTAGCATATTAAGAGTCATAGAACATCATAGGAGTGCGTTGATCCAAGCAGGCAAACTGTTTTCTACGTACTTGTGCTAGTACGTAGTTTAGATGAATGATAGATGTGGCTTGGCCAAGTAGCTCCAATTCAAGGGGTACCAAGAGAGGTTAAGTGACCTTAGGACCCGTAACCTGGGGTACCTCTGGGATAGCCTACAGGCTTCTTCAACCTTTGTTGGTAGAGTCAGTCCGATGGAGACACCGAGCCGCCTCGCAGGTTCTTTCTGCGGGTCCTGCGCAGTTGCACAGGCGGACACAGACCCGGATGACAGACTCATAAGATGGTAGCGAGCACACCAGAAACAACAAAGATGCACGTGTATATATATATACATATATAGTTATTATACATGGGTATATATAGTAATGGTATAGAGAGTTACCAGAACACATAAGACAGAAAAGAAGAGTAAGAGAGAAAGAGGAGTCCGCGAGGAGTGAACTGTGTTTGCCTTCTGTCGCCTTGGTGCTAGGTTGACAAATACTCCTACAACGACAACGCTTATCCAGCGACTCAGCCACAGTAAGTTGACGATTCTGCTACGCTCGTTGTGGCGGGAGAGATGTCCATAATATGAAACGTTCGGAATTTCGACTGCTTGGCAGTGTCGAGGTCATCCACATAGATTGGTGCCAACATGGACCCAGTAAACCGCCTCCCAGGACTATGCTCCATGCCCTGCAAACATGTTGCTGCATTGACATTTTCTGCAGAGGACTACATGGAACCCCAGGTCACCACGTCGGGTTGGTCTTCGGAAAGTGGTCTGTCTTCCACCGGTCCATTCTCAGCTTCCATGTTAGATTGGTTCCAGATGAGACACGGGAGGGGGGGGCATGCATACAGCGGGAGGGCACCAGCTAGCCAGCATTCGCGAAAGGATCCAGATGAGTCACGATCATTGTAGACACCGCACCTGGACAACGCACCAGCGACTGGCTGGACGACTAGTCGTCCAGCACAGCAAGCAAGCTAGAAGCTTTCGTTTCAGGAGAGAGACCAGGTCGGAGATACACACATGTGTGATCATGTGTGCATGTTGTGGCTATGGGTCAAAATGACCGAAGATGAACAGAACAGATCAGAATGCTACTAAGTGGTGTTCTGTTCCCGAGAGTATGAGCGACCCTGGTCCAAAACAGAGTGACCCTGGTCGACAGCCCAAAATGAAACGAATCAACTTCCTGGGAAGTCCACCTACCAGGGTGAGTTCCGACCTACCGGGTGCCATGACCTACGGGGTCCCATGACCTGGGCGCACGAGCGAAGACGGGTACGAACACGGTGCGAGGGGGTGACCGGAGCGAAGATCATGGCTTTCACATGGTTGGTGATGCATGGTAAGGTGATGCATGTTCATTGGTCTTCTGTTTTCCACAGCTTCTAGTGACTAGTTCTAGTGCTGAGGCACCATCACAGGAGCCTCTCATCTGCTTCGGGATAAGGTGCGGAAAGAAACGATGCGGCATGACACATGTGGCATTTCTAAGAAACGAAACGACACAGTTTGATTGTTAGCCACAAGTGAGCATTGGTTCCAAGGTTGGTTTTCTTTGGAACACCAGGACTGAAGTCACTGAAGCCGACTAACATGAAACGTCACGAGGTTTCTCACACTAAGTGGAGTCTTTCAGCTTGCGGACTGTGGACTGGACCATGGAGATCTCTGCATGTCTCAACAATATTTTAAGCATTCTACAGAATTTGCATGTGCGTGTATGGGTGTGTTCAGCATATTGCGGTGCTTTGCTGCTGAAGGATTTAGTAAATAGTTTCGGGAAGCGCCTTATTTATACACGTTCGATTTCTATTCATCGTTTGTGGCATTTTTCCCTGATAAACTGATTAAACTGGCCTCATGCTGGAACCTTCAGGTCAGAGAACCAGAAAAACGTGAAAAAAACAGAGAATGATTGGCCAAGTTTCGCCCAGCTCGACCCCCGAAGCCAGAGAATGTTCATCAACTCAAACTCAATCGGCCAGGAGGGGTGGCCCTGGAATATTGCTACACACACCTGGAGTATTTGCTTTAGGTTTTTCTGTGTGGGAAGGAATATGGACTTGCTGCGGTATTGACAGAGCCAAAGTCCAAATGGGTTTTTGGTATATTGCAAGTCCAAAGCTTCTTTAGGTTTTATTTTGCAAACTGTTGGGCTTGCTCAATACCCAGCAAGCACTCATACATGGGCTCTTGTTCTTGTGCAGTGCGCCGTCGTTGGGCCCAGAAAAGGTTGCACCAAGGTCCGTGTTTTCAGTGATTCCAAGTTATGTCAGCCCATGGCCCTTCCAACTTAAACAGATCCAATGAACTACCAGAAGAGAACGCAGGTGGCTCTGGAGCTGAGCATGGGCGCCATGCGCTGTGCCCAGCTGTGCAACCAATCCTGTACTTTCGTCTGTGAAGCTAATGCACTGTAAAAGTAGAGACGGGCTGCTCAGCACAGACCATTCTGAGGGTGATGATGCTATATGATGCTTGAGTCATAGAAGTAGACGTTGCCTTCCGGATCTTGAAACAGAGCACACATATTGCAGGAAGCGGGTTTGTTTGTGATAGTTTCTGTTTGATAGTAACTAGACCTTGTCGCAGACAAACTCTTCATGCCATGATTGTATCATGTCCAAAGACGCGGCTCTCGATACCAGAGCTGTCGTGCTGAGCATGTTTGTCAGAGAATTTCAATTAATGTACCCATGTCAGATCAAACTAATTACTTTAAGACTAAATTAATTTTAGATTGGCAGATGCATTAGATCAACCTACTGAAAGAATGCTTCTTTCATGCCCCCAAGTGACTTGAAACCATTCAGTTCAATCATGGGGGATGCGTTGCTGTTGCTGGCGGGTTTTGGCTTTGATCTGACTCAGTTAGCAGTTACCCTTTAGGCAGTGGGTGTGAGAACTCCCACATTTTTTGAGAGATATCCAGCATCCAATGCGCAGTTGGCGAGCTTGATTGAACGATAAAGTGTTAAGACACGTGCAAGATCGAAGAGCAACGGAGTTGATATGCTTTGGGCGTGCAGTGTTGTGGTTTGGATTAAAAAAAGGCTATATGCCATCATGTTCGACTCGTTTTCCGTTTGCCTTGTTGCAAGCGCAGAAGAAACTGGTGCAGTCTCTTCATTGTCTTCATGCAGTGCGAGATGCCCGGAAGGTGCACGCATGCGTGAATCCTTGAGTGCACAGGCTTTGCCAGCCTAAAAGGATGCAGATCGGTTTATGATCGATTTACCTTTGAGTTGTTTGGTAAAGACAGCTTATTGGATTTCTCATGCCTGTTACTATGTATGATTGCTCATTATTGAAGGCTTTATGAAGTGGATTACACTTTCGCGTGTGCTGATCTGTGGTAAGTGTTGCCTGGCTTTGATGGATGAATGCGACTGTAACATTTAGAAGCTCAAACGGTGAATGCAAGGCAACTGTCGATTTATCGTTATTGCTTCACCAGTGATTGACGTGTTTTAATAAACCACCATTATTGAGGTCACAAGTTCATGATTTGCTTGATAACCACCCGACTTTGCACATGAACAATTGGACAGAGGATTTGCTTGAGTCCACCTGCGTTGCACTCAACAGTGTCGCAACTGTAATATTGATTGTGTCGAAGCTCTCGATCTGAATCCCAATCCTCAAACACAGGTAGGGAACTAGGGTGGAGACAACAAACCGGCAGGAGCTAATGCCTTGTCCATGCCTTGTCCAGAAAGCCAGACTTGAGATTCATCGGTGGTATAGTAAACATTAGTAAACTACAACTAACTACAAAAGCTCAGCAGATCACATGATCAGGTTCATTGCTTGAGAAAGAACACAACAAGAAACAACACAAATACACCAAATCTCCGGACATCGTGACACTGAAAACCAACGGAAGCACGCCGAGACCAACATGGCATCGACTTCCAGGCCTCCAAACGCACCAACGTCGGACGCGGCGGACGTGGGGCCGAAGTGTGGGGGATGGACGGCCGAAGGTGAAGTGCACCTGGAAGGTGGTAGAAGGAGTGGTTGAATGTTTGACTGTTGAAGGTAGTTCAACTGATGACCTTCCAAGATCCGTGAACATGGTGAAAAATAGGCTACAAGTATCGATGAAGCTCTCGCTATTGCTTGATGCGCCATTGTTGAGCCTTCAGACATCATGGATCACAGATGAGCAGCACTGCAGGAAGCGACGAGATGAGGCTCCTTCATGATGAATCGAAGAGAGAAGGGGCAAGCATCATGCAATGATAAGTAATGATATATCATGATTCACTTAAAGCCAACTAACCTATTGTGAGTGCTAGATTGGCATATTGTGTTCGCAGGCCTTGGGGCTTGGAGCCCTTAGAGCAGAGAAACACTAAAAACATACTAAACACAATGTGATTTGTAATTGATCTGGAATGTTGTGTCTGTGTTTTTTGTTGATCAGACGCTGTCTTTGGCAATCATATGTTTGACTGGAGGCCCATGGATCTACGCGAGATCATGATCAAGATGTGCCCTTGTTGCATGAGTTGATGCTGACTGTGGCAACATGCCTTAGTACTCCAAGCGTACTACTTGGGTTTGTCATGGTTTGTCCAGGTTTGCCCTATTACCTGTAGCAGTTGGTTTAAAACATATCACTATAGTCTCTTAGAGAAGGCCTTTATCAACCATCATCATCCACTGTTACGGTTAATGGGATGTACCCAACGTACTACCCTGAAAAGAGGGCTTGGCAAGGCTTTGCAATTTTTTTTCCCTAGACTGCTGACATATCCATGCTCCTGAGCACCCATCACGCAGGTCAGCCAGATCAAGGCTCAAGCACAGGCCGGACAATGCCCGAAATTTTGGGAGTATATAGTTTTAATAGTGTGGATTAACATTTGGGTGCAACCTTGTTGAGGGTTCCGGTCTATCCGCTTTGGGATCTACTCTGTGTTTGCACACAAAAGATGAAGCGCGACTACGACTACTGAGATTGCGTGTTTCTTTTTGTGATAGGCTGCAGCCACTGCCGCTTGGTCTCCAGAGGACATCGACGGAATGAAGAACCCCGCGACTCCATGGAGTCTACGTATGGAAGATATGCTTGCATGTGCCTGCAGACAAACCTCATCAAACCTCTGATACAACAACTTTATTTATGTAAATATGCCAGTCCCAGTCTCAGTGTTTGGTGCACCGAGATGACATCATATATTATATGATTTGAGACATCGTTTGGAGATGGTCAATTCCTTCAGTCTTTGCCGGCTGAATACCTTCAGCCCGGCCCTTGCCTTCACTCACGTGCGCCGCATGCCCTGCCCGCGCCCGAAATCCCGGCGTCCTATCGGTGAGGACCGAGCCTGGGAATTGCTACTTGCTATCTCTGGCGTTTGGACCTTAGCAGTAAGACCAGGGGTCGCCCCGTTGGTTCGCGTCCTGGCCGCAGCCTTAGCAGCCCCGTCTGTTACCCCGTAACGGGTTTTGAACGGGAACGTCACGGATCCGTGGCACTCCATGTGACAAGGATGGCATACAGTGCAAGACACAAATCACAAGCTCAACTAGTTGAAAGACTGAGAAGCAACTGGGCAACGTATTCTTCTGACTTGTTTGCTCGATTCAGCTTGGGTGTTTTCCCCCACGAGTAGGTGGCGCAGATCTTTGACCGTCCATCATCCCAACATCCCAGCTACTTGTAGCAGACATTTCGGCCTAAGTCAACATATTGACTGAAAAAAGCGCAGACTTGGGGTGTGTTCACTTAAATGATCCACTCTCCAAGAACCGCCTTTTGTTCAAACGAACCGCTCCGCTCCGCTTCACCCGCGTGGTTCGCACATCCATCAGTTCGCCACGTGCCGAGGCACACGCCGAAGCAGGGCTGGCGGGCCGTTCCGATCTGAGGCGCTTGGCCGCCGAGGCGCGGGCCGCCAAGTCTCGGTCGGTGGTTCGGGATGTGAAACGAGAGGCCGAAGTCGGTGTGAAACGAGAGGCGAAAATAGAGAAGCCTACTGAACTGAACTGAACTTTTCTCTGGGACTCTGTGAGAGTTCTTTTTTTTCAGATGACCATGGAAGCAGTCCTGGGTCTATCTTGGAAGCAACACCTGGTAGTCGACATGGATTTTGGCAATTGCGTTGCCCACTGATGATTGGCCAGTCTGTTGTTGGAAAGATGTAGATCGCATGGTATGTAATGGGATCACGTGAATTGCAAATCATCAACATATTGATTGGCTCCATGGATATACATTTAGGCAGGCACCTTTAAATTTGGTGTAATTAGTTGCAACATGTTGCAACTTCATAGTACCCATACATATCATTCATATAGATATGTATGATCGGGTCATTCCTTTTGATGCAACCTGAACGAGCAAAGTTGGTTGAGCCCTGTGAGCTGCGTGATTCTTGTGTCTCTTCTCACTTCACCTGTAGCTTTGTGGCATGCAACCTCTCTAGAGTGTTTTGCATGTTTCATATCAGCTTTCACTAAGATCTCTATAATATGTGTGCATATGTGTCTACAGTAACTATGAATATATAACTATATATATATTGTGTGTAGCAACTCCTGCCACCATACCCCAAGAATTCTATGTGCTGGCCTATCGGCATGTTTAGCCCTTAGGCCAAACGGTTGCTGGCGGAGTTTCCCGTTGAGGCGCTGCATGATAGATGCTGGACTTCAGAACTGCTACCATGTGCTGTAGAAGCAAGACAGTTGAGTGATTTAGCCAATGTACCTTAGTCTACTAGAGACATTGGCTAATAGACAATAGATTGTCCATAGAAGACAATCTAAGACATTGGTACATTCTACTATTTAGTCTACTTGTTTGTCTATTGTCTATCCTTTCTTGGCCACTTCTGCTTGCTGAAAGATGGCTGTTCAAGGCCGAAGCCGAGCCGCCCAGCAGACAGGACGGAATGGGTTTTTGCCGTGGGTTCTTTGGTGAAGCAAGGAAGTAGTTTTTTTGCTGCACTCTCACTCGATCACCAAGTACTTTCATGCCTGGATCATGCCAAACTCCTGCAGCGCAGTGATGCCAAGCCTCTCTTAGAGTGTCAGTATGTGTCACTGTCCACCAGTTCAAAAGCACCACCTCGAAATCGGATCGAAGAAAAAGCTTCCGCACCTGGAGGCGATGCCAATCTGGTTAGCCTTGAAGGCGGTGATCACAGGGCTTTGGGGTTTTCTATGCTTCGTCGCCGGCCCCAGCGAGGTTTCGTCTTTGAAAGTGAAGCTGCATCTCCATGCCACGAAACACCGCGCTTCAACACACGAAACGACACCTTGCTGAGGTCGTGACCCTGTGCCACGACATCGGCACCGTACTGGCGATGCACTGAGCCACATCGAGCCGCTGCAACTTCACCGACTCGTAGGGAGACGAGAAGCACTGAGGCGGCTGCTGCATTGGGCCAGGAGCCTGCAGAAGCATCTTGACAAGAAGCAGCATGAGAAGTGTTGGGTGTCTATCAATTCAACATGTTGTTGGGCCCGCTGCAGCGGCAGCAGTTGGAGCAGCTCTTTGAACAGTTCACTGCCAAGGAGAATTCGAGAGAGTCAAGTGTTGACAGATCTCAGGCTTTGGCCTCAGCCTTTTCTGTTTCTTAAGAGAGTCACCGGCCTTACCCGCCTTACCCCCCCCACGACTTGATTGTGCTCTTGATGGAAACCGGAACAGTTTCCATAACTCAGAAAGCAATGCTAGGAAACTCTTGAAGATAATTGCTCAATCGGCTGTCATAGATGCTAATGACAGGTGTATACAGGTGGTATGACAGGTGCTTCTCGAGATGTTCAGATGCTGAGAAGCATGTACCTCTTTGCCCACACCCTAATTCATTCTACGCCATAGTGTAAGTTCTGATCTTTGGTTGCCGTCCTTGGTCTTTTTTGATCCAATGCTTGAGGCCAAGCACAAGGCGCAACCTCATAGAGGCCGCAAACGTGAGATATCGTGAGATGATGAAACTACTGGTGTGAAAACTACTTGTCTTGATCAGCAAACGTGAGCAGCTTCAAACGGTCGACTTGTGGGGCCTTTGACAGAGTCAAGACTCATAGCATTGGCCTGTTTGGATGGACAACCCTGTCTTGATCCTGTTTGATCGGCGACGTTACGACCCTCGATCTACTTTGATCCTCTTGAGGGAAGGGGTCTTGCTCTTCAGCCTTCGCACACGCCAGGAAGGGTGATCTCCCAGGCTTGGATAAGCCACTTTGTTTCGCTTGACATGTTTTGGACGATCAAAGGCATGTTGAAACAAACATTGAGCCTTGAGCAAGAAAGAAAGCATCCTCCCTTTTTTTTAAGTGACCTTTTAGGAGTCCCTCAGTGACCTTTTACAGGCCTAAATGACCCTAAACTAAGAATATAAAAGGTCACTTTGAAGAACCAGCATCAAACAGAAGCAGTCTTACTTTGATCGAACGTGTGGGTACGCGAGGCCAATGGGGTGCATGAGGAGGAGGAATCCGTTCAGAGATGTCACCTCTCGTAGCAGACCGTCGGACCGACGCGGAGCGTCCGAGTCCGAGCTCGGTGCTTCAGTGCCGAATAGACTCCCTTCGATGCGAAATGAAGTGATCCGAGTGACCAAATGGATCAAACAGAGTGGGCGGAGGGTAAGGGATTGGGGGCAGCTGCCAGAGAGGAAACTACATGTGGAATGGATGTGTCGCCAGATCAAAACGATTCATCATTCATCATTCCTTTCCTCGGCCATTCCGAACCTCATTCCTCAGCCATTCCTATTAGCTCTGTTGATGTGAAAGCGGGAGCTCGCAGCTAAAGCAGGTCCACCAGTCCACCAGGTGACCAGCGCCCCTGATTCAAGGCGCTCTCAGACTCCGCTGCAACGCACCATTCCATCTCATTGATTGTCAATGTCCCCTTCCAACGACGGTGAAAACAGGAGATGGTTTGTTGCAAGAACCTGTGTTGATCTCAAGAGGGCACAGGTGTACTTCTACTTTGCACCATGGGGCTGAGCAGCCACAAGCTATTGGGCAAACAAATGTTTGGGGAGGTGCTGCTTGGCATAGCTTGGAGGAAGGGGATGACAAGGTGTGATGGCCAATGACTTTGGCTCAGTTCCGTGGAATGTAGAACATAGGACAGATGGACACAACACAATCCAGAGAACTAGGACCCCCCTATAGACATGGTGGATCGACACATATCAAAGTCATCAGAGTTTTGATGGACAGCTGCTTCACGCAAGTAGATCAGAAACACCGCAGGCTCGCCTGTGCTGATGCCGACGGCAAGGGGAAGCCGGAAGTTGGAGCAAAAGTTGGACCAGGAGGTGCCTTGTGGATCAGGAGTAAGGGTTGGGAAGTGTGGGCGCTGCAAGAATAAGAGTCTGGGATGGTGTGACAAGTCAAAGGCGTTCTTTTGTGAGCAATGCTGGAGCGAGTATGATTCCTATCAAGGGGAAGATGGTGAGGACTATACAGGAAAGGTTTGGCATGACGCTATCCTGGCGGAAGGCCACCAGGATGATGGAAGCGGATCTGATGATGATGGAGAGCTAGTGATGGAGTTTACAAAAAGCACGCTCTTGAGACTACGACCAAACCAGACATTGGGATACAATGATGCTAATGACATTCACAATTGTGACGAGGAAAACAACGCGGTAGCTCCACTTTCAGCAGACTTTGGTGCCAGAAAAGCATTTGATTCATTGATTAGAATCGGTAGCGGTCCTGTAGAACTGCAACAAGCACATATTATCGTGGTGGTGGACACATCTGGCTCCATGAGAACCCTTGACGTGCAACCGGAACAAGGCACCAAGTCATTGTCTCGCATACTTGCAGTTTCAGAATCGCTCTGTGGCTTCTTTGAGAAGCAAAAGCAAGCAGCTTCCCCACATCATTTTTCACTGGTTTCGTTCAGTCAAGACAGTTACACCCATTTTGTTGGAAAGACAGCGGCAGAGTCGGTGGAATATATGAACAAATCCAGCTGCTTTGTTGCGAGAGATGGTACACACTTTGTGGAATCTTTGCCAGCTGTAAGGAATATCCTACGGCGGGATTTTGCACATACACCCCACCTCCTAATTTTCAGCGATGGGAGGCCTGCTGATGGTACTCAGAAGATTCAATCGGTACAGAGATTGCTAGATGAGCATCCCCGCTTGCGAATACATGCAATCGGATTTGGTGATGGCTTGGACTTTGAGTGGCTACAGCAGTTGACGTCAATTGGAAAGGGGACCTTCGCTCCATCCGGTCGATCTGTTCTGGAATTGGATCATGCCTTCACATCTGTGACTTCGACAATTACAGAGATGCAGAGTGTTTCCAGTCAAACTAGCAAGTCCAGTGCCTTTTCCTTCACTCAAGGTTTCTCAGGACCAGACAACGCATCTAAGAAAAGCAGCTTGACTCCACGCTCTTTCACCTTCGAAGCAGCAAACCAGTTTCTTTGGAATACAGAGCGCTCAATCAAGTTTCGAAGTTGTCGTAGGTTGTTTCGATTTAATGGACGAGATTTCAAGCAAGACTCTCATGAACTCCGGGAAAGCCCAGTGAGCATGAGATTGCAACCCTTCATGCAAGGTGGGATGCGTCTTGTCTACTGCTTCAAAGATCCTTCAATAAGGCTTCATTCCAATCGCACCAATCTGACAGATACAGATGCGCGCATGGTGGCAAAGATCTCAAAATATGTGGACAATTGTCACAACTCCTCTGAAGTTGTTATGGCCTATGCAAAGAGCAGTGCAGTTGCAAAATTCTACGCGCGTATTTTCAAGCTTGCAGCTGTGGAACGTTTTGGCAGTACTGGTAACGGCATGTTAAAACTCATGTTTGTGACTTCGTATGTGTACAAGGCAGAAGAAGACAAAGCTCCAGCACCCTTTGTGATTGGAGAGCGCTTTCTGCCTGGGGTCTTTTGCAAATACAACTCGAATCATGGGTATGTGAATTTTGATGCACCGGATTCGGAAATCGCTCAAGCGTTCTCACACTTCACATTTCAAGCGAGTGGCGGGAAACACATGGTTTTGGATTTGCAAGGTGTTTATTTGGGCAAAGCCCAGAGATACCGACCGCATTTGATTCTAACCGATCCTCAAGTCGTGTCATTGGACAAGGCCTTTGGGCCGGGCGATTTGGGTGACAAGGGAATGCGTGCCTTTTTTCAGTCGCACCAGTGTGGCCCCACTTGCAGGCATATGGGCCTTGATCCGCATGCATGGAAGAGAATGCGCCAGGCTATGCGCAAGGGAACCAGTGCAGGTTTGACTCCTTCCCCCAGCAATTCTGCAGTGGATGCATCTGGAGGCTCCCGAGGCCACACTGGAAGCATTTCATGCCTCCGGAAATCCGACGTGCGATCTCCACCAACCCCTCTGGAAGGCGCAGTGCATGTCAAGACCAAGCCACGTCCAGAAGTGGCTGCAAGTTCGGAATCAGCTTTGGAGGCTCTGCTGAACCGACCTCCACCCTCCAAGCCCGGTCCACTCTCGGCACTCATAGCTCGATCGGCAGCTGGAAGACCGGATTTTGAAAGGCTGTGGGCAAGAAGGCCACCAAGCTGCGAGCTTGGAACCACCTCTTCTGAGATGCACAGCTCAAGTGACAAGGCCTTGGTGAGAGAGGGCACTCGGACCCTTGTGCAACATTGCTTGGATGCTGAAGCAGCTGACAAACCGCTTGCCATTCGCAAGCAACTCGAGGATGCACCTGTGACAGCCACTGAACCGATGGACGAGGCTTGGTTGATGAGTATCCAAATGATTTCAATTGTTTCTAATTTAGAATACTGTACGTAGTAGATCGATCCATACTAATAGATTCTAATAGGGCTTTTGTGCACAGCAGTGTTTGTAGAGGTGACATGACATGTCCACAAGAGGAAACAAGCACCCGCAGGCATCTACAAGCTCTGTGAGACCTGCAGTGACAACCCTTGCAGTGACAAGTCGCGAGACACCAGGCGACCCAGTTGACCACCAGTTAAAGAAAACCATTGTGTATGGCCCTGGTGCTTCAAAACTTTCTCTCATGGCTTCATGTAGAGCGATGGTTCTTGAAGCAATCCAGTCTCGCTTCGCGATTCCGGAAGAGGAGCAGCACTTGCTTCAAGACTCGTCCGAGCCCAATGTGGACTTCTACCGCGTGGAGCGGAAGATGGATCCGCGGAAGTTGCGCTTCACACAGGAGAGGATCAGCCCGACATTCCGTGATGGAAGGCAGATCTACCAACTTCTGAATGATCTGAATCAGCAGGTGATCGACCCCTTGAGAGAGTTAGAGCCACTGGATGTCGTGTGGCACAATGGTTTTTGGCGATCCTTGTCCAACCGAAGGCTCTGGGCGTTGAAGCATTGTGATTGCCAGCCGCTCTTTGTTCGGGTGCATGTGAGAGAGCCAGATGCTGAGTTCAGATCAAAGTCGTCATCGACCAGCGACGGAGTCTCTGTTTTGATTGTTCCACGATCGCGGTCCCCTTCGCCCGTTTTTAACAGATAAGCGAATGGATATCACTAGGTTGCGCAGTCAGCCAACGGTTCAAAAGGTGCTTGACAGTTGGTGCCTTTCAGCGCTCAAGTGTGAAGAGAGCCCTGGCGCTGACGAGGGCCCTGGCGCAAGAATCGATGTTGTCAGCGTGAATGAATACAAACTGCAAACTGCTTAGCTGCTGCTGGTTCAAGTTTCAGATGTACGACGCATCAATTGCCAGCAATCACAGCTGACATCAGCTGACAAATGATAGGACAACTAAGTCATAAGTTGTTCCCACCTCTTGTGTGGGGGTTTTACTTTTGCTGTGCATCCCGTCCGTTTCCGCATCAGCCGCCCTGTCCTCCCTCTACTCCTCCCACCTTCCCCATCACTCTTACTCTCACTCACTTACGCTCACTTACGCTCACTTGCACTCACTCATACTCACTCACGAACTCATGTTATGTTATATATGTTGTGGTCACAATTTTACTTCCACTCTTCGCTCATCAATTTTTCCGCATACACTCATACGCTAGCATTCCTTTTCCGGCCGCTTTTGACCCTACTTTGATAGAAACACGAGAAAAGCTTCTGCATGTCTTGTCTTGTAGTTTTTGTCAGTAATTGCAATGTTAACATGTTCAGGTGCATGAGCCATCAAGGCGTTTCAGGCCACGATGCATGGAGCCTGGTTACAGGACCCAACAGTAATCACGGTTGAAAGTTGCAAACGCCGGATGTAGATGGAGGGCTTGCAAGGCGGGTCCAGCGGCAAAATACTTGTGCGGACTGTGTTATTCTTGTGGCAGTGTGCGATTGCAATCGCATAAGGAAATGCTGAAACTGACAGGCTTTGCCGACCGGCGATGCCCGTGGGCGGACTGCGTGCATGCGGAGGCTCCTCGCACAGCACCCGCGCACACAGACTTCGACACAGGTGTTTGCAGGAGGGTCAGAAGTAAAAAGCCTGGGAACTTCAACTTCAAACATGCGTATGCACAAGCACACTTGCACGCGCACCGGCATGCAGGGAAACGCAGGGAAGGGTATCTACAGGGAGTTGCACAGCAAAGACGACGTAAACGCACTTATTGCGTCCTTTATCATCGTTTGACCACATTTTACCCCAGGGCCCCAGCGATTCGATTGGGTCTTGCGTCCATCATGCAAACATAGGTGCTGGTTTGTTGAAGAGGTCACGCTTGGCACAGAGGCTTCGTAGCGCTGACCATGCAATATTATCCAACGCTGTTGTTCTCACAATATTGTGACCTGTGGAACAGTTTGGGAAAGAATATATAAAAGGTTGGGGTGTGGTGCCTAGCTTTGAGGTTACTGGGACGAAGCCAACTCCATGAAATACCTTTAGCCAAATGAGTTCAGAACCTTCTTGTTGCAACGACACCAGCTTTGTGCACACCCTCACGAATGCACACGCACTCGCGCACACGCACGCAAGAGCCGTGGGCGGATGGCGTGTATGTGCTGCCCAGACATCTTTGGAAGACATTTTTGATGAATGTTGATGACATTTTTCATGACCACTTTGGACCGGCCAAACGGTCAAGAAAACTGCCGATGTCCTGATATTGGAAGAAGCATGAAGAAGGTGGTGCTTTGAAATGTCGGCCACGAAACCGACATTTTGAACATCACAGGGATGGTCCGGGAGGTATGTATTTTCTTCAAAAACACGTCACAATCACAGTAAACAATGGCTACTGTAAAGCCTTATCTCTAGAGAAGAAAATATGCTAAGAGGAGAGGAAGTTTTGAGGTAGCAGTTGTGTCAAGCACCATTGGCATCACCACAATACGAGCAACGTTGTTCATAAACTACATACATGTTGCAAAAACGCTGTAATTTCCAGAGTTTCTTGCCTAGTCGTGCCCCAAAGAATTTGCATCTTTCCTGCCGAGACTCTGCTGATAATGATGTTCGACCCGAATTTCTCCTCTAAGTTTGTATCCAATTTTCAATGCTTTATTCTCTAAGAGGTTTGGCAGCTACTTTTTCATCAGTGGCCATATTTGATCATTTTCCCTGTGTTTTTGGCGGCATCGGGGGCGTCTCCGTATAGCAAGCTACTCGTATGCTTGATATGGTCACCGGGACGCCATCGCCGGATAGAATGGGCCAACGCCCAGGTGCCGCCGACCCCTATTTGGAGCCAGTAAGACAAAGACACCTGCTGAAGAAGCAGGATGCGCTGCATAAGCGCGCTTTTGTCTTGGTTGCCAAGAAGTGGCTGGCGGCACGGGGAGGGTCAGCGAACAATGGTCGCCACAATGGTTGCCAGCAGCAACAACAAGAACAGGCAACGGGCGGAGGGCTTGTAGCCACAAGACCGCCGTGCCAAACGGCATTTAAGCCAGGTTGGCAAAGTAGGTCAGTCGAACCTTAGACCCACTGAAAAAGGCATAGGCGGAACGCCTGCTTTGGCCGCGGATCAAGCTTGAAAGCCAACAACGGACCTACTGGTACGGTAAGGATTGCGAGTCTCGGTTTGGACCTATACTTGGTCTGGGTGATGTAATGTTAGGCAACCTGAAGCCAATCTGTCCCTTGCCAAGTGGCCACGGTTGAACTCCCTAGTTTTTTTTAGTTGGAGGGTGAACCTTGAGACCAAACATGTACACTGCACAGTTTCACAGACCTTGTGTCCTTTTGAGGATGTTCTTTTGTGCTCCACCCGACAGACTCCAACTGGTTTCGGGTAGCCGAAATTCGTGTGCTGACATGTGCTGAGTGTCAGGTGACCACCACGAGCGCGTGTGTTGTCCAGGTCTTGATGTCCCACTGTCCAAGTGGGCCAAGCCAAGTAAGAAATTAACAACTGAATGCAATTGACGACATGAATGACCAGCCACAATGGCGACAACAGGCAAGTCGCAATGACAAACAAACGATGTTGAGCGACAACTGGAGGAATCAACCGAAGGGCAACAACAATTACTAGTAGCAATGACACAATAACAAAAACAAGGTCACGCCCGTGTCAACGGATCCGTTGATGTCATTGCGTGTTTCTCGACTCTCGACATGTATGTTGATATTGATATACCCCTTCAGTCTTTTTGTTTGTTGTGCTTTGGGGAAATGCACTTAGTCTCCTAAACACCACAATTCCAAGAGGAATTAATTTGATGCGTTGATGCGTTTTGTGAAAGCACATCTCTCGCAACATGTTGTTTTGTGTTCGTCTCATCGTTGGTGCCCATGTTCCAGCTCCAAGATGGCCGTGTGCACTCGTTCTTTCTTTCAGCACTCACGGCAAGGCCTCCCAAGTTTCCACATGTTTCCACATGTTTTGATCGAGAACCTTGGGGAGGCCAATGACGGCCAAAGAAATTGCAAAGTTGGTTCTGCAGAGTGTCGAAGCAGACTTTAAGCGTGCAGGCCAAAAGATGAGGCTGAGGGATTTGAGCTCGGCGACCGTCCCATGTCCTGAGATGCGAGGTAGAGGATGGTGCATCACGTCTGCTATTGAGAAGAAAAAGGTCGCGAAGGTGAACAATTGAAATTGATTGGCATACACCGGCGGCGTCTCCCAGCAAAATGTTTTGGTGTTCATTTTGTTGCAGGTTCTTCAACACTTGTAGTTAGGCAACTTTGAGTTTGTTTCACACATGGTTTGTACACAAGAGTAAGATGTGGCCTAATGATGCAGTTTTTTTTTTTTTAACCAGCTTGCCTACATGCATCGATGTGTTCTCAAAAGTTGGTGTGCCTTTGGCTCAAAGGAGAAGGTGCTGTGGCCACGTGCATTGTGGCTGGTATCCTGGTCTGGGCAGAAAGCGTTAGATAACATATAGTCCAGTGACATGCTGTACTCATGTGTTCGCACGGACAAAAACAGGTAGCATGTAGATGAATTTAGGTGCGATTTGTTTACTTCGGAAGCGTAAGAAGCTAGCAATGCCGACACGTTTTGGGAAATTGGACGGTTCAATAAAGCCCACAGCGGCATCCACAGCAAAGCCAGCGAAACTGAAGCAAGAGCCTCCGGTCTTCGTTGGAGCAAGAATTGATTTGTGTGCTTCTTGCAAACATTTCTTCCAGGGATGGTGTGACAAGTCAGGACAGTTCTACTGCGAGAGGTGTTGGAATGAGTACGATGCAAGTCACCAGGAAGATGGTGAGGTCTACGCTGGCAAGGTTTGGCATGATGAAATCCTTGAGGAAGATGTTGTTTCTGCAGAAGGTGATTCCGATGATGGCAAGTTGGAGGAGGTTGCTCGAAAAGCCCTGGAGCTAAAAAAGCACCACACAAGTGGGTCCAAAGATGATTTGCTTGACAGCTCTGAGAGCAGTGACATCGACAGCGAGGGTGACACAGTGGCTCCACTCCAGGCCTTTGGGACCAAGAAAGCGCCCAACTTATTCAAGAAGACGTCTCCAGAACTAACGCAAGCCCACATCATTGTTTTGGTCGACACATCTGGTTCAATGAGAAATGTGGACGCGCAATCTGAAGATGGTGCCACTTGGGTGTCGCGCATGTCTGCAGTTGGAGTGTCGCTGTCAGCTTTTTTTTCAGAAGCAGTGCCAATTGGCTTCCCCACACAAGTTTTCTTTGATATCCTTCAATGAACAAAGTCGCACCCACTTCATTGGATGGCCTGCAGCAAAAGCTTTCAATCAGTTCAGACACAAGCGGTCCCCTGGCTTTGTTGCGGCTTATGGCACGCACTTTCTTGAATCCCTTACAACTACAAGGCGTATTCTGAAAGACCGCAAGGATTTGCCTGCCTCAACCCACCTCCTGATATTTAGTGATGGGCGCCCTGCCGACGGTGTCCAGATGCTCAAGACAGTGCAGGCAATGCTCGAGGAGCACCCAGGCCTGCGAGTGCATGCAATAGGCTTTGGAGATGGCCTTGAATTCGAGTGGCTACAGCAGCTCACATCCATCGGAAAAGGTTCATTTGCCCCGTCCGGGCGATCAATTGCGGGGCTGCACCATGCTTTCACCTCTGTGACGTCAACAATCACGCAGATGCAAACAGTTACTAGCCAATCAAGTAAGGCCAGCTCATTTTCCTTTGCCCAAGTTCCCTCCGGTCAAGAGAATTCGGCCCAGAAGACGGCTGGCAGCTTGACTGCCCGGTGTGTCACCTTTGAGCCCCCGAACCAATTTGCTTGGGGGACAGATCGCTCTACGAGCTTTACCAGTTCCCGGACATGGTTCCACTTCAATGGCAAGCACTTCAAGCACTACCACCATCAAATTGCTGGGAAACCAGTGTCTATCAGAGTGCAACCCTTCATGCAAGGTGGCATGCGTCTTGTCTACTGTTTCCACGACCCTTCGATGTCATTGCATTTTGATCAATTTGCAAATTCAGGAGCACGCATGGTTGCAAAGACATCAAGGTATGTGAATGATTCACACAATTCCTTCGAAGTTGCTTCTGCCCACGCAAAGTGCAGCGCAGTGGCAAAGTACTACTCACACGTGTTTGATCATGCTGCTAGGTATTGTTTGGGCCGCTGGCTTGGCCAGAGCATTGCAAAGATCATATTCTTGAGATGTTACGTTTACAAGGCAGAGGACTCGACTGCACCAGCCCCCTTCATGGTTGGAGAGCGCTATTTACCTGGGACGTTCCTCAAATACAATTCCAACTGTGGGTTCGTGAATATGGATGCTCCTGACTCTGAAATCGCACAGGCGTTCTCACACTTTACATTCATATTAAGCGGTGGCCAGCAAATGGTGTTGGACTTGCAGGGTGTCTACCTGGATAGGTCGCAAAGATTTCGACCGCACTTGATTCTGACAGATCCTCAGGTGGTGTCAATGGACAAGTCCTTTGGGCCGGGTGATTTAGGTGAGAAGGGCATGCAGGCGTTTTTTCAGACCCACAAATGTGGTGCAACCTGCAGGAAGATGGGTATCAATGGCTATGGATGGAAGAGGATGCGCAAAGCAGCGCCAAAGGCGACTGGGTCAGAAAGTTCAGCTCAAGCCACCAGCGCCCCGCCAACAACTCCCGACCCCCCAAGCCAAGCTGCGTGCGACGCATGCAGCGAAGTGCCGCTTCGGAAGACCGAGGCATTTACACCTCCCGAGGCGTCTACGCAGCGTGTAGAGCCGATTCCAAAAGCGCCAGCTCCTGCACTTTCAGACTCAGCTGTGGAAGCGCCCTTGGTGAACCGGCCTCAAGCTGTATTTGGTGCCAAGGCCGATGGACCATTGTCAGCATTAATGGCTCGTTCTCCAGCTGGCCCAGGAAAACCAGATTTTGATTCATTGCTGCAAGGTAGGAGACTTGACACTCGACAGTCGAGCGGTATGAGGCTGAGGGCACTTGCAGCAAAGGAAGGTTCCAAGCCGGCTGGCAAAATGGGCACTGAGCCTCCTACAGAATCCGGTACTTTCGATGCCTGGTGTGAAACCAGACTAAATGCTGCCCAGACAACAAGCGCTACGAGTCAACCACTGATCAGTGGTAAAGATGAACTGATAGGTGGAAACGGCGGTCGAATCAGTGTTCAAAGTATTGCAAGTCCCGCAAGAGGGATGTTTCCCAGTGTGCACCTCTCTGGCGCTGCAGAAGATTCCATGCACTCAAGCCAGGCAAACTTGTTATATAGTTGAAAGACACGGTTTCCATATGGTTTCCATATGTCATGTTTTCGATGTTTCTTATGCAGCTGTTTGTCCAAATTGGATGATGTAATGTTGATTTCATTGATGTGTTTTTTGTGACATGTTATGACTCTGTGTTGATGGTTCCATAGTTTTGTCCCCAACTTGCAGGTATCTACCGGGACCGGCTCAGCCAGATTGGCGCTACCTACGCAAGCACGCTCATCTGGTGAGAAGGCAGACAGTCCACAGACGGCCATCGTGTATGGTCCTGGTGGGTCTAAATTCTCTGTGACTGCTTCATGCCGAGCCATTGTTATTGAAGCAATCCAATCTCACTTCTCCATTCCGGAAGAAGAGCAACACTTGCTTCAAGAATCCTCTGCACAGCCCGATGTGGACTTCTACCGCGTGGAGCGCAAGATGGATCCTCGGAAGTTGCGCTTCACACAGGAGTCCATCAGCTCAAATTTTCGCGATGGAAGGCCAATCTACCAACTTCTGAATGATCTTAATCAGCAGATGATTGACCCACTGAGAGAGCTAGAGCCGCTGGAGGTCGTATGGCACAATGGCTTTTGGCGATCTTTGTCCAACAGGAGGCTTTGGGCACTGAAGCACTGCACGCTTGCCATGACTGGCCAGCCACTCTTCGTCCGGGTCCGTGTCAGGCCACCAGATGCTCAGTTCAAAGCAAAATCGACTACAACCAACGACGGAGTCTCCATTTTGATTGCTCCGCGTTCGCGGTCGACTTCGCCCGCTTTTAACAAATAAACGAGTGCATTGCTGAATGGAAGAAAAGGACTTTTGGCCACTGGCTGCCTGCAGAGCTTGAATGCCACGTGCTGAACTTGCAGAGCTGTATCGACTTTTTGGCCAGGTGGACTCTCGCCATACGCTGCTGTGCATGTTTTGGTGGTTCAAGCATCTTAGTAGTCAGTTGTCAATCCTGCATTGTTCATTGCAGACCGCACCTTTCTTCCCCTTTGCAATTGGTTGGTGTCGGGAACCTAATCATCTACAGCAGCAGGCCGACGTGTTGGATTCCCGTGATTCCCTGTTTACCAGATAGGTTCATACGCTGCTCATAGCGATGACTGAAGCGCTATTCCACTCACGAGGCGCAAGCCATGACGTGAGCTGATGTGATCTGAATCCTTTGCGGGTTAAAGAGGTCTTGAAGTAGGAAAATCGAGAGTTCAAGAATAACACAACTTCTTGAGTTATTGTTGATAGGCCCAGTAAGACGTGCAGTCTCAAGAATGGAGTCCAGTACGTACCACAAGGGACAAAATAGTCACAATATAAATTTAAGCCTTTAAGTAACAGTCACGACTTCACCTCATCATTGTGGAGCGTGTAAAGCCCTCCCCCACAGGGCCTCGGTGTTTCGCATATTCATCCCGACAACCCAAAATGAAACATTATAGAACTACCAACAAACATCTGCCTTATAACGTTATACATCTCTTCAAGTCAAGCAATTTGCAGGACAGAACTCCAATGTGTTTACACCGCGTAATTTGTGCAATGCGTCGGACTTGAACACGTGTTGTCCGACAATAAGACAATGGGGATTCAACGCCTGTGCGCATGGTTTTGCGGTACTTTGATGATGGTACATCACCAAAACAAGGTCTTCGGTTCTCAAAGGGTCCAGTACCCCGATACCATTTGGTCATGGTCATGGTTGCGTTTGGAATCGATCGTCATGCTCAGCGCCATGGGCTTGACCAGAGCAATTTTTTAGATTTCAGGGCGTTTGGAGTCCCATATGTTTGCGGTGGGAAGTGAAACTCTTGGTTGGTTCAAATCTGTTTTGACATCTATTCCAGAACCCCCAAATAGATCGAAAAGTAAAATTCCTTTCAACATGTATTGGACACCGTTTCATACCGTTTCTATCTATTTGGGGGCCACTATTATCTTCCAGACTGCCATGATCGATTTCTTGCCACCAGCCTTGCTTTTTGGCCAGGAAAGAAGCTCTGATGCCTCGGACAAGGTGCACGAAGAACGAACGATGTTGGTCTCTACATGCCGTTCTGGGTCTTTACATGGTCATTGTATGTCATGGCATATGAAAGTGGGATGATGATCCTGTTTGATTCTGGGGCGAGCATTTTGTTCAATGTGTTCGCAACCAACCGTTTCACATGGTTATTTTGGCATCTCATGATCAGAGAGATTACATTTTGTGAGGGGAAAGCATGCAAGGGCAGCAAAAGCCGCTTCAGGACTGAAGACAAGGGGGATACAAGTGGGGCGGTGTTGTGAAGCTGTATGGTACATGACTTTATTCTTGCCAATTGAGACTGGAGGGTTTCAGCTGCATGGTTGGAATATCTTAAACCTACACAGAAGAGGGGCAACAGGCCAAACCGGTAACCATCAGCATTGAGCATAGGTCTTGTCAAGTATTTGAGTGTTTGAGCAGTTCATGTACTTTTCAGTTTGCCCCAATTGCTTGGTGGCAAAGTGCTTGTGCCAGGAAGAGAATGAGGAGAAGACGCGAGTGGCTCCCGGTCAGGCCACCCCGGATCACATCACACTTGACGATGCCAAGGGTCAAGTGTGCAGATGTGCGCAGGACTACGTTTATAAGAGGTGAGGTTTTGACCTACATCTAGTTGAGGTCACAAACTCTACAGTGCTCCAGAGTTTCCAGATGTAGGATGTAGGTCACAAACAACTGGAACTGACTCCCAGATGTCACTCGAACCATTCCAAACCCACTTCGACGATGCCGTCCGCTGCGGACGCGGCCAGTCCCTGAAGCCTGCCACAAGCGATGTCTTCCAGAGGCTTCATGCCTCCCATGCTGCATCCTGGCTGCGCTTTCCCTGGTAAGTCACTGGTAAGTACTTTAGCATGTAGATGCTTGTATGAATGGCACCTGTTTCAGGAGAAGTTTTGAATGAAAGTATAGATTGGATTCTAGGTGGATGCAGACGCCCCGACCAAGGCCAGAATGGAAAAGTTGAGCGCAATGAAGGCAGATGTTGGTTTTCGAGGGGTGATACCAGTCGTGCCTGTTTGATCACTGTTCTCAGCTACTTCTCAAATGTTTCAGACATAAATTGCTGGTACGCAATCAAAGTTGGGAGTAGTGAAATCTTAGGAGGTCACAGAACAGTTGTGCTTCAGCTTTGCAGTGGAGAATGAGCAACAGGAGCTGGCTGAGCGAGAAGAAGCTGAGAGGTTGCAAGAGTTGCCCCGCCGGCTGAGTCATTGATCCTCAGCTGCTCAGCTTATCAATTTCAATTGATCGCAATGTAGTTTCACGATGGTTCAAATCACTGATCACTGTGTTTCAAGGTTGTTGAAATCAAAGTTGCACCTGGAGAAGACATGTGTTTCAGCGTTTGCATGGTAGCGGAAGATCCTTTGCCAGGCGGCGACGCACCATCCGTACCTGTTCTTCAGAAGATGAGGCCCGATTTGCCCGATGCTTTGGCGCAGTCTTAGGCTTGTATCACAGATTAATTGGCACGTTAACGGTATGTGTTTTTCTAACTTTATAACTAAACCACTGCTGCATCTCTCTAAGGTCTCTTGAATTCTCCAATGGCATCCAAGAGTCTCTTCATTCTGCGAAACAGCACACAGAATCTGGTGTCACCTTGTTTCAGCTTTGCTTTGGTCAAACTGACCTTCGGCTCGGGAGGCAGGGCAGATCTATGGGCGCCTCTACCAGGAGGCCGAACTGCAGAGGCAGCGCCGCGAGCTGCGAGAGCAGCAGGAGTGGGGCCGTGGGCCGGCCCCTGCCGCGGGGTGCTTCCCGGAAGGCGGAGGTTGCAAGGGGCTGCGGTTTCCAGGACTCGGAGTTCAGTCGTAGAGATGACAGTTGGATTGGGACTCCAGATGAGATGCCTCGCCTAAAAAGTCGAACGGCTTGGCAGCGTGGGTGGCAACCAAAAAATATCTCGCTTGGAATGCCAGGATGAGGCCGCTTCGACGTCCACGCCCACCATTTCTTCCAAGAGTCAGGACCACGGGAGTCGGTGTCGCTTCGAGATGCTTGGCTTCTAGCATGTCGGTGGTGTTGGAGCAGAGCCTTGTGGGCAACACAAGAGGCAAGTTTTGGGTGCTCAGCCACCCCAAAATCTGAATTGTGTGCGATCTACCCGTCGTGCCCCTTTTGAGGACCCACCTCGATGGGAGCAGCTTTACAACAGCGCCCCACTGAAGGAGGCGCAATTATAGGTGTCTTGCAAATATGAAGATGTAAGAGTCATCAATAGCCAATCGTTTTGGGCCGGGCATCTCAAGCGTCCTACTGGATTTGGGAAGTGAACGATAAGTGGACGCGCCTTGAGCTGTCAGAAGCGCCTGGGAGAAGAGCGCCAGAAGGCGCACGAAGAAGAGGAGAAGTGGCTGGTCAGGTGCTCAGCTGCTCGCCAGCGCCAGTGGAGCCGCGACCGGCGAAGGAAGGGGTTTTTGGTTTGGGGGTCTCAAATCCCTAGGTTTTTTGAGACCCAGGGCTGTTTGGAGCGTTTGGGGGAGATATTAAACTTAGAGGTTGAGTCCTGGTACAGTAGCTAGAAACTGGTCAACTGGTCTTCCTTCTCAATCCGAGGTCGAACTGTGCGAGCTTCCTAGCTACACCAGCCATGCAAGTGATGTGAGAAGACCATGGACATCCCTCCCTAGGGATCCAAAGACCCTCTACTGGCCCCTCCAAGACCGCCTACGTCACGGCTTCCAAAGGTCACAGAACTAGCAGGACTCATGACGTGTGCCGCACTGCGTCGCGTTGTTGCTCAGGCGCAGAACTGCATCCATCGAAGTGTTGCTGATGTTCATCCAGATGAGGACAGCAGTTTGGTGAATGCAGGAAAGATTTCTGAGTGTTCAATATGTTCTAATGTTCCTTCCTTCTGAATCAAATGCCTAAAAGACCTTCAAACCTGCAAGGCAATCCTGTTGCTAAAGCCATATACACAAATATTGTAAGGGATTGATTTTGCCATTTTGCCACTGCCTTGTCCAACCAGATCTTCCAACGGCTCTACCATGAGAAGTTCCGTCGGGAGAACCGAATGGAGAAGCTCCGGGCTGCAAATGCTGGGGAGCTCAACAACTTGGAGCAAAATCCGCGGTTTCTGCAAAACGTTGTTGTTAGGATGTTGGATATTGGCTTGTGAAACAGAATCTGCAGGTGCTTTGTTCCAAACACCATAAAACATCTCGTTTTGGCGATTACGCCCATGTGTTTTCCATACCTCAAGAAGCAGTTGTTCTACTTGAAGCAAAGCAGATGCTGGAGCTGAAGGTTGATGCACTTACCCTAGCAGTTTGAGATTTGGAGACACATTCGAGGCTGCAAGCCAAGCACAGCAGCTGGCATCTGGCTAGGGTGCCTGAGAAATCCTGGCAGTTTGTTGGGTTTGTAGAGCGATGCTGAGAAAAGATCTTGACCTTGTTTGGCAGCTAGAGAGGATGAGACATACAGCAAGCACTCGGTTTGCATGCAAAAGTCAGTGTGCTGGTTCTGACGCAGGTGGAATTATATATCCCCAAAACTAACTCTGGACCCTGTGGTTTTGGCACCCTGGGCCCTGGGTCGTTCCGACTGTTTTCATCTAAGCCGGTTGTTGCACCGGTTTTCAGCTTCCATGTGAGTCTCGTCCGCCGTGTTGTCACATCGATGTAGCCTTGGCGAAGCGCCACGTAGATGCAATTCATGAAGCTGATCACGCAAGGTTCCGTCCACGCAAGCTGCCAACTCTCCGAAGCTGAGCTGATGGATCGGACGAGGTGCCCGATTGTTGCTGATGCGATTAGGAAATCCGATGGGCTTGCTGTCACGGCGATTGCCCGTATGAACTTCTGCAGGTCCACAACCTATGTGACCCAAGAACACTTCAGGTACTTCCGCAGGATCGCTTCTGAACTTCATTGAACTTCCCTTTTTAATCGATCCTTCGATCCTGTTCGGTCTTAGCTGCGTCCGCACGAAGGGCACGGCACGAATCCGGTTGTCCATCCCGGACCTTCAACTCGGTTTCGCGGGAACATCGACCGTCTTCGGGCAGGGCTGTGCACTTGGGCCCCGCTTAGGCGCCTCTACGAGGATGGATTGCAGCGACTGGAGCGATTGGAGGCCGGGTATTGGGATGAATGAATGTAGGTGAATAGAAACGGGATCACACATGGGAGGTTTTTATGAGTCATCACAAAGATTATGTGTGATTGAAGTGGTATGTTATGAGGGGTGACCCTCTCAATGTAGAAAGAGACAAACGTAATGAGCACCAGACATCCACATGAGCTACAATCAAAACCTGCGAATACCATTATGCGAAACCCTGTAAAACGATAAGGTCCACCTCAAAACCGATAACCCTATGATTGTAAAAGATTGATGATTTGCTTTTTGTATTTTGCTAGCTCTTTGGTTATATAGTGGCTGTGGATGTGATGGAGGGAAGTCGTTGTGCCGCCGAGATGCAGCAGCTATATGTTATATAATGTTATATATATATTATACAAATATATTAATATTATTATTATTTTTATTATAAATGCATGTTATGAAGTCCGGAAAGCATCTAAGACGGGGCATAAGTTTGAGGCATTGCCCGTTTGCTTGCCAAATAAATATGGCTCATTGAACAGGGTGCCGACAGAGCGAATAACAGGTTCCAGTTTTCCGTGTTGTCCTTTCATCAGTGCGTGACAACACCCTATGGTTTGGACAACACCCCCCAGAACCCAAGGACTTTTCAGAGAAAAGAGACAGGTCGCCCGGCAGCAGAACAACCAGCAGCGGAAGGTGCAAGTGGTATGTGCATTCAAAGCAGTTGTACTCAATATCCACTAATCAAGCTGGGAACTAAGCAATTGCCACGAGGTCAACGATTTATCTCCTGATATCTATCATTGTCAAGGAGTCTTTTTACTGCAGTCGTGTGATATTTCCTGCCATTCCGGGAAGCGAGAGAACATCGGAGTGCTGAAATCAAAGACATTGACCGATTGGTCGACGGTTAGGACCAGGCTCCCCGCCGCAGTGTCTCCAGTGGCCCCTCAAGGCAGGCTGAGATCGCCTGAAAGAGGCTGAGATCGCCTGGTTGGGTATGTTTTCCCAAGACATGATAAGACATGTGACCTGTTCATCTACAAACCAGCATCACAACATGGAATAGCCAGAAGTTTCAGCACCTACAGATTGAATGGGGTGGCAACAGCCAATTGTCCATGGTGGGTACAGCAAAATACAGCAATTATCAGCAATAAATACGTTTTGATCGCTGACTTCGAGCCCATGCTGCGCAGGTTCGAAATGCTCTACAGTGATGCCAGCCGCCGTGAAGAGGATCGGAGGCATTTGCAGGACGGGGTGCTTTTGCACACTGGTCCGCAGCCCAAAAACATCAAGAAAGCCTCCTGCGCTGGCGTTGGCCAACTTGGGTCACCTGAAGATTAGATGCCAAGTGCGATCAATGAAGACCCATGCAACCACCATGGTAACCTAACTCCATCCAATCATGGTCCGCAGTCGAAGGGAGGGCTCGAGACTTCATGACCAGCGCGGTCAAAAGAGTGCGCATGAGGTGCGCTGTTTGCTAGTTGCCGGTAGGTGGCAATTCCGTCGTGCATGGTAGCGGAGCCAGGCCGGGGGGCTCAATAATACCCCGGCAACCGATGCCAGAGGACCGCGATCCTGTTCCTAGCTGGGATGGTTCTCCAGGAACGTTCGAATCGTACGTCACAGCCTGCAAATGGTATTCGAAGGGCACCAAGGAGAGTGAGAGAAAACTGGTGGTGGCCCGACTCTGGGGAAAGCTGTCAGGTGCTGCGAAGTCGATAGTTCGAAATGCTGATCCCGAACAGTTTGATCATGAGGACGGGTTAAATCAGTTTTTGGCACTGCTCCGTGAGAGCCCACTTCAACGTCTACCCGTTCCAGACAGTTTCAATAGGCTGGACAAGTGGAGCAATCTCAAGCGAACAGATCGCGAAACGGTGGCCGAACTGATAGTCCAGGAGGAAGAACTGTTTACAGAACTCCAACAGTCATTGGCTAGAGCAAGGCTGGACAGGATGTCACCGGGACAGGAATTTCTTCCAACCCGACCTGCTGTTCGTGTTGACCCACCATCAACGCCATCGAGGAGCCCAATGTCAGGAAATCGAGCTGGAGAAGAGAGGGGACGTGATTTGGGAACCCAAACATTTCCCTCAGCTGGCCCAATCCATTCGACAGCGACGACTGCATCAGGAGATTTCTTTGAAGATGAGTTGAGAGGTTACAGATTGTTGCGGGCATGTCGTTTGAGCGGCCATGAGAGACAGAACGTTTTGGTACAAACAGCCAACTCCACCAGCTTCCATCTTGTGAGAAGAGCTTTGAGGACACTCTACAATGACGAGACCTCGGAGAGACAGCAAGTTGGAGCAAAGCGGATTTGGTGGACTGACAGTTTTGTTGGACAGGATTGGTATGATGAAGATGACATTGAAGGACCGTCGGACGATCTCTGGTGGTCAGACTGGGCTTGGAGCGAATGGCATCAAGATGATGATGGCAGTCCGACGTACTGGACAGGCGAAGACTGGATCGAGGACTGGTGGCAGGACGCATGGTACGTTGAAGACGAAGACCTGTATCCTGATGAGACATCAGCTGATCCGGAGGAAGCACAGTTGTCAGAGGCCTTCGCCATTGCCAACGAGGCGAACCGAACCCTCAAGGAAGCCCGTGAGGCAGTCCGCAAAGTGCGGTTGGCTCGGGGGTATTACGCTCCTGAGTCGAGCTCTGGCAAGGGGAAGGCGAAGACAGGATCGAAGCCGAGTTCACCATCGTCCAAGGGTGGATCGAAGACCCATCATGGACCCTGCTTCATCTGCGGAATGTCAGGACACGGCTATCAACAGTGTCCGGACAGATTTGCACCAAAGGGCAAATCATTTGGAGTTGGCAAAGGTGCAAAAGGGAAGAGCAGCTTCAAAGGAAAGGGCTATGGCAAGGGTTTCTCCGGGAAAGGTTCCAAGTCGTCCAAGGGCAAGACCTATTTCTTGTCGGGAGTGTTGGCACAGTGGGATGAACACACCTCACACGGTCGAGCACCAACCAGGGCGATTTTGGACACTGGGGCGACGGAGAACGCGATCGGGATTGACGCACTGCATGATTTGGTGGTTCATGGTCATTTCCAATACACAGTTTGCAAAGAGGATTTACCGACTTTCAGATTTGGCAACGGACACCGCGATCAGGCAGTCAGCAGAGCAGACTTGGTTGGGACCTCATTGGGAGCCATCTCATTCTATGTGTTGGGAGGAATGGCCAAAGCAACACCGCCACTCATTGGAGCAAGAACACTTCGTGGCAAACATGCAGTTCTGTCATACCAAGATGGTCGAATCAAGTTTCATGATGGTGACATTGATACAGTACAGGCACAACAGACAAGTCGTTCAGTGCAGATGCAAGCCCTACAGTCAGGACATCTCACGATTGATTTGGCTGAGGCTCCAATCTATGCCATGGAGCGGACTTCAACCCAGGAGGCGCCAATCTCAACCTCGGAAACCGATCGAGTGGAGTCTCAAGTGTTGATGATGTCAACTGAAAGTTTGGAGCATTTGCCTGTTGGATCATGTGAGCAGTCCCAGGATGTCTCAAGCCGTTTGCAGTGTCTGGCCCAAAGGCTTCGTGATTTGCAGGTTCACCGCACGCTTGGACATGACCACCCGGGCACCAACGGCATGCGACGATCCAAGGCACTCTGGCTATCCCTGCTTTGGGGACCACAAGGAGGGCCGCCAGCGAACGAACCAGTTCGCCACATGGGTGAGTTGCGCCAAGTGCGGACTGCGGACGCTCTACATGTCCAAGGACAAGAGCCATGGAGAGAGACGATCGATGGGGCCGGAGCCACATCTCATTCGGCTTGCGCTGGAGGAGTTGCAGCAGACAGTACCACCCGACCATTGCACCGAGCAGATGGTCAATGGGAAGCTGATGGAGATCAAAGGAAAGATGCTGCAGCTGGGGGTGAGTCAGACCATGGCCATCAACATGACCTACACGGACTACATGAAGAGGATCGAGCAACATGGTCGAGCAGATGGCAAGTCGGTCACCCAGATCACTCAGGAGCACTCGGCGAGGATCACTGCAAAGGCGGCGGCCAAGTCAATGGCAACGTCATCAAATCCAAAGGAGATGGATGCAGTGGAGACTCGAGCCTACTTGGAGGCGGAGAACTACGAGCTGAGGCGTCGACCGGAGAGAGCCGAGGAGCTGGCCACAGAGGCAATGCGCAGGACCGAACTGCTGGGACAAGAGGCGCGACGGGCCAACCAGGAGCAGCATCGCATTGGCCAGATGGCGGAGGAGGCCCGTCAGGCCCTGGGCAGTGGAGTGATCACGATCCCCAGCGACAGCGAGAAGGAGACGGTGCCGGGTTCACCATCAGCCCTGCCGATCCAGACCAAGAAGGAAGCAGCCGAGAAGAAGGACGACGGCAAGGAGGGCTATGGGACCGGATCTGGGTCCTGAGGAGGACAATGGAGAGAAGCCGGAAGGCATGTGAGAAGGGAGTCGCCCCCGAGGCCATGGCGGCACACGACAATACCACCACGAGCACTACGAACCACGACCCGGACGCTTCGTTGGGGCCCTATCCATTTGATGATGGGAAACCTATGATGGTCACACGACATGGCACCTGTGAGGAGGCCATAGCTCATGCCCAAGTTCATCGGCATGGCATCAATTCGATCAAGGCAGACGACAAGACCCAATCCAAGAAGAACATCGTATGGCCTGGCCTGGCCAAGAAGATCGCCACTGGGGTCGCTGTCTTGGGAGCCTGCTTGACCTGTCCGGTCCAAGGGCTCATGGGGCATCTCTCTCAAGCCCCCGATTTTGTGGAAGTGGCATGTTCTCCAACTTCGGCATTGACCTCTGGAAGAGATGGGTTATCATTGCAAAAGGTATAACTACCTCAGCGGCTACGACCTTGACCGCAAGATGGGCACGAAGATGCTGAGCCTGGAGTTCCAAACGCATCCGCCACGGATGAGCTGGATTTCTCTTCCATGCACCAGGCTGTCAACCCTTCAGAACCTCACTCCAAGATCTGAGGAAGAGTGGGGCAAGTTCGAAAGGCGGCAAGGACAAGACTTGAAGAGAGCTGATGAGGTAGCCGAGGCGGTGGAGATGAGCTTGGAGGCAAGAGAAGACTCCGATTTTGCTTGGGAATGGCCCACAGGAGCTTCGAAAGGGTGGAACTCCAAGGCGATCAGACGCCTACTGAGGGTGATGAAGAAGCTCGGAAGACCAGTTTACTGGTGTCGATTCCACGGCTGCGCTTATGGCTTGGAGTACAAGGGCATCCCAATTCAAAAGAACTGGACAGTTTTGACCTCCAATCGGAGTTTGTGGATGAGCCTTCAGAAGAAATGTCCTGGCCATGGAGATCACGCAGAATGCCGTGGACCGGCAGCTCAGGACTCAGGCCTCAGCATATTACCCATCGAAGATGGTGACGGCCGTGACAAAGGCGATAGTGGGATCCTGGCATGCGAGTGAGGAACGGGCCGACACATCCATCACCAAGGACATCGAGACCTACCTCCTGGAGATTCCAGAGACCTTCGAAGACAAGGAGGAGAAGAATGTGATGATGGTGAGAAAAGAAGAGCCCGAGATGTTTGCTCTCTCAAGGAATCAGTTCCCAAAAGAAGCGCCCTCAGGGAGAAAACTCGAACTGGTGAAGCAGCAGATGATGAGGATACATCGATCCTCGGGGCATTCTTTATTCGGGAATTTGCAGCGCTTGCTACGAGCAAGGAAGGCACCTGAATGGGCAGTGACACTAGCTGGAAATCTTCAGTGCCCAGATTGCATCGAATCTCGGAAGCCTCTGCTGCATCCACCGGCATCCACAACGGACACTCCCAAGCTCTTCGAGATTGTCGGAGTGGACGTTTTCGAGTATGACCGGGGCGAGGACAAGGAGAAGGACAAGTTCCTGATCTGGAGAGATCGAGCGAGCGGCTTCGTGATGACTGACCACCTCAAGACATACAAGAGCAGATGGGAGCCAACGGCCCAAGACGTGGTCAACAGCTTTCTGAAATGGTTGATGACGAACCCGAGTCCATCCTGGATCATCAGCGATGCTGGACCACAATTTACGTCAGAGACCTTTTTAGATTTCTGCTCTCGGTCAGGCATCGGAGTGATGACTGCGCCGGCTGAAGCGCATTGGATCATGGGAGCTGAGGAGGGATGCATCAACGTCCTGAAGTCTTCAGTGAGACGACTACTCAAGGAGGAGCCTGAGTTGACCATTGCTCATGCCTTCGCTCTAGCAGCACATGGCGCCAACCACACCATCGGACCAAGTGGTTTCTCACCCTTCCAATGGGTTCGCGGAGGTGCACCACCTCAGGAAGAGCTTCCATCAGGAT